GCCAGAGCAGCAAGGTAACGCGCCATGTCGTTTCACCGCTTGGCAACATTAGCACACCTTCAGGCAGATTCCGTCATGTTCACCTGGACATTATTGGACCGATGCCTTCTTCAAACGGATTCACTTATTGCCTAACAGCAGTAGACCGTTTCTCACGCTGGCCCGAAGTTTGGCCCATGTCGTCGATAACCGCAGTAGAAGTCGCTGATCAATTCACCCATGGCTGGATCGCTCGCTTTGGTGTACCGATCACTGTCACAACGGACCAGGGACGTCAATTTGAGTCCCAACTTTTCAACAGACTGATGGATTTAGTAGCCACAAAACGCGTTCGTACTACGAGCTATCATCCCCAAGCTAATGGGATGATAGAGCGTTTCCACCGCCATTTAAAGGCCGCTTTAATGTGTCACAAGAGTTCTTGGTACCATGCCCTACCTTTCGTTCTTCTCGGAATCAGGGCGGCACTAAAAAATGACATCAAAACGTCAGCTGCAGAAGTTTTGTATGGGGAACCGCTACGCCTACCAGGCGAGTTCCTGGTGGCTAGCAATTCCCCTCAGACCGTGGACGATGATTTTGTTGCACAGTTGCGAAAACGGATGGCAGAACTTCGCCCCGTTCCAGCATCACGTCACACGAATTCTAAAATTTTCGTTTTCAAGGACTTACCTGATACTCACGTGTTCCTCCGCGAAGATTCAATTCGACGCCCTCTACAGCCACCTTATACAGGCCCCTACAGAGTGTTGAAGAGATCTGAAAAGACACTTACCTTAGACATTTCTGGCCGAAGATCTGAGGTTAGCATCGACAGAACAAAACCTGCGTATATTGCACCTGACCCAGACGGCAATCCGTCCCCTAACAACTTGGCACCGGAGCCCCCAGTCCTTCCGACTCTTTCACCTCCTATTAGCCAAACGGCCGTGCCGATTAAAACGCCCGCACAGCCTGTAACAACCCGGTCAGGTCGCAAAGTTAAAAATATTTTAGATTTATAAGTACTAGTTTTTAATACGTTATTTTTGTTAAAGCAGAGTTTTTTTCAATTTTAAGTTTCCAATGTTTATTTTTTCGTTGTATAAATTAAAATTACATTAGTTAAAAATTATCCTAAATAATGTTGCTTGTACTTTTATAATAACAGTGTATAATTATTTGATTGTTACATTTTATACTTGTTTTGCCTTCAATGTGTACTTATTTTTCTCCGTAGGGGGGTGATGTGGCGACTCATTTGCTACTGTGTAGCACCGCTCTTATCTTTTACACCCTTACTCTCATCGGTCTAGCATTACCCTATTATTGACAAATTTCTATAGCAACGAGTGACAATAAAAGATTATGTTTTTCTCAACACGGCTATTTGTACTGCATCTTAATTATTCCCTCCTGCCAGCTCTCAAACATCTTAAAAAGTTTCCATGTAAAATAGAGATTTGTCCAGTCAGGACTCTAGAATCTTATATAAACACTAGCTGTGCACGCGACTTTGTCCGCGTGGAATTTAAAATTAATTCTTTTTTAAATAAAAGTTGCCTCAATTACTCCTTATTACATCAGCTAATTGCTAGTAAAAGTACCGTCAAAATCGGCCTAGCCGTTTCTTAGATAAGCTGGAACAAACAGACAGACATACATTCATTTTCATTTAGTAAAAAGCGGTTATTTCAATATTACAAACAGCAAATCCAAAATTTATTTATCTGTTTAGATCTATGCGAAATAACGTTCATAAATTAATTATAACTTATAAAAAACCGTCAATAAGTCAATGGATCAAGCTTTCATTGCAAGCAGCTGATATTGATGTTACTAGTTTCGCTGCACACAGTACCTCAGACATGCTTCAACGTCTGCAGCTGCTAGATATGGGGTAAACATTGACGACATTCTTAATGCCACACGACGGTCAAAAACTTCTGATACATTTACAAAATATCATCACAGACCGTTATCACACTCGAGCCAGCCATATTTAGTAGCACTTTATGCGGTCTTATAAAAAGTTGTTACTAATACTTAGTTCTTAAAAACTGAAGTAATAATGTTAGTGATTAATTAAACCAAAGTAAATATCGTGATTAAAGTTCAATTGTTCCTACAAGTTATTAATTACCCATAGAAGAAAAAATAGTTTGGTTAAAAGAACAATGCCCATTTTTGACCTGATTGTGTATAGAGATGAAATAAATATTAAAATTTAGCTAATTTCATTTTATATTAATTACACTAATTACAATGTTAAAAGAGGGTCGGGAAAAAAATATTTTTTGATATTTCTTTACACTTATTTTACTTCAAGGGTAAACATATTACCATGTTTTGAACGCACCTTAACAAACCTTTGCATAGGACGTTCCATTTTTCACACTACCCACTTGACTGTATTCAACTTTTTCTGAGTTTTGTACGTGTTTTTACTTTTTAGAGAAGTGAGTAAGCACATAATTAACAGTATTTGTATAAAAATTAAGATCAATCTTATTAGTAGTATAGATTTATTAAAAATAAAATAATAAATTATTAATGCAGCATATAATAAAGTTCGCACGGCTCACGTAAATGGAATTTTTGTGACATTTGACAGTTCTGCGAGTGACTCATACTCATCGATATTCGCCAGTAATTGTGAGTATTTATGTTTATTATTTTTAATCTAAAAATGTCACTCATGTCCTAATCAAACTAACAAAGCTCCTATAAATTATACCTGTGACATAACACAAACAACTGTTCAAAAGATCTATATATCCTAAATATGTATTATAAACTCAATATATGTTTTTTTATTTCAGATTACTGGGGAAGATTACATTTGTAAATCTTGTAATGTACTCTTTATGAGAATAATAAACCAGGAATTAACAAGCTGTGATGTAGCTCAAGCTTCAGGATTATCTCAACCAGGTCGAAGAACAGTTTTTGATAGTCCTTCAGAAAAGCAAAGACAGATAAATGCTATTATACAAACAAGTTCACAACATCACATATTCATATTTCTACATTGTTAATCATTTCCCAGTATGAAACTTGATACTATTACTCTAGATTATTTCTCTTTTGTATTTTAGATGTAAATTATTATATCTGTTATTAATTGACTATATTTTTAAGATGAATAATAATTATTGCTTTATTACTTCTTTTGTAGATCTCATCATCTGATAGAATATGCCATTCATACTGGATGAGTTGTAAGAGTGCTGCCACACATATTAGGCATGTTGCTGAAGTTTGTGGTGTTTCTACTACTGAAGATAATTTATTTTTTATGTTTCTGTGATTAAGTTATTGGTGAACTTATACTATTTGCATTAGGTACCAAATAAGGCAAGCCAAATCCTATTATGGTGAATATATTCACTTTCATGGATCATATAGAATAGAAATATGTAGGGACACAGGAGTTTTATAGCAATAATCTGAGAGGAAGTGGTGACATAACACTAATAAGAGGAAAAATTAAGTCCTGGCACATTTAAAGAACAATATTATGTCTACATTTTAATAGAAAATAATGTGTCTGGCAGAGCTAGTATAGTCAAATACTTAATAAATGTAATTGTTTAGTTGGTTGGCGAACCATAGGATGTTGAACTCATGTTATGACTAGTGTGGTACTTCGGATGAACTATCAAGAAAATATCTCTGTTATATCAGAATTTCTGGATAACATAGTTATAAGACATTTAAGTGAAGATGATGATAATTAATAAAGCATTCCACTGTAACAGTGTTTCATTTTTTCCCTCGTTTTATTCATCAGGTATTATAATTATCGATTATTATGTATTGTAGTGCAGGCCAATGAAATGTGTAGGGCAGATAAATGATCACTTTTAACTTACGTTTTTTTAGTAAGTACTTATGTGAGCTGTTGAAATAGCAGATAATGCTCTTCACTCAATTTATAGTGACAATAATCGAGTCTAAGCAGTGACGTAAGGGCAGTCGGTTTCTAGGAATTCACAATTAAAAAAGAAGTTTTAGACCTTAGCTAGGCTAATATTATTATTTTAGAATAAACTTGAGTGTAAATAGTTAGTTCTAGCACATTTATTTCGTTATATTAGGTAACTGCAAATTCTAACCTAAAAAGTAACATTTTTTTATAATTTTTGGACTTCGTAGACCAGCAATCGTAAAAATGACTATATGATATTAATTTACTAACTTAAAGGTAGTCTTTCGCTATACCTTGTAACTATACATACACTTTCATTATGAGGTTTTTAAATGTATGGGAAGTGGGCATTGTTCTTTGTTGTACAAATTTCTTATTGATTCACAACCCTAACTTTAAACATCTACTCGTAAACCCATCTCGGACAAGGAGAAGTATAATTACAAGATTAAACGAACTTACCTTAAGTGAAGTTCTATCGTAATTATACGAATCCTTGTCCGAGATGGGCGTCCCAAAAATTCCCACCCTGTAATACTTCATATTAACCCAGTAGGGGGTTGTTCTTCTTCTTCTTCTTTTTATTAATGGCTTGCTTTGTGAGTTATCACAATTACGCCAATGTCAAGTTGTTCTTAAAATTCTCAATTTTATAATATTCACATTAAAATTGTAATAGGCAAATAAAAACTTCAAAAATCCTACTCCACATCGTCAAATACCGGTGGGCATCTTCTTTTTCAGGGGGTTGTTCATAGTAAGTTAAGCTTTAAACGTAATGACAATCACACGCAGTGTTGCTACGCAGAGAGATTAAAATGTTTTTTTTCAGAGCTTTGAAACATAGTGATTTGGTACTGGCTCATGGAACCTACTACTCGTAAACCCATCTCGGACAAGGATTCGTATTATTACGATAGAACTTCACTTAAGGTAAGTTCGTTTAATCTTGTAATTATAGTGTCAACTGCCAAACAATATGCGATGATACAAGTCCGATTCTTTAATAATTTTCGAGGGTTTTTTGACGATTTTATATAAAATCGAAATAACAAGGACTCAGTAAAGTTTATAATTTTCATTTCAATCACTTTATTTCGGTGGCATCGGTCGTACCGACGTTTCTGCAATTTGGATCGTCTGTAAAAAAAGTTTAGAAAGTATAAGTACATACAACAAAAATATGTAAAAATATGCATGTTTCTTGTGAAATAATTAACACGTGTTTGTTTTTACAGTGACGTGTTTGTTTATATACAAAAAGGAACTTGTTACGCAGCCCTTCTATGGAATCTGCTGCGTCGCTCCCTTTGGGAGCGTAGGTTCGAATCCTACCGACTGCGCCAATTACGTGGGCTCCAGCCAGAGGTTGCAAAAAAAAGCAATTCTTATAAAATATAATTTATTTTACTTTAAAATATTACAATAAAATTATAGCTAAGAAAGGTGACTCTAATTCGATGTGTGAATTAAGAATGAGGATCGATTACAATTTCGAAATAAGGTAAAGAATTTATGACGCAAATGCGTTGTGCTGAGTCGGTGCCTCGTGCCATCGCGTTGGAGTCCGATGCCGTTGCGACGCAGCAGATTCATTATACTAGGGCTGCGTAACAAACTTACTAAATCATTTTTTTTCTTTAATCAGATTTTTATGCTAACTAAGCTTATTGAAAATAATCCTGCGCGGACCTTCAACCTGCCTAGTCAGTTTATTATTTTAATTGGAATCGAGGGGAGAAATTGATGGAACGATAAACGAATCTTTTGGTTCTATTTATATTTTTCGTTACGAAACTCATTTAATGCGTAATCGAACCGATGCGGTCTCCGCAACTCTGTCTTCTATAAGCGGCCACTCCATAATTAAAAATTAATGAAATTGGAAATATTGTCATAATCATTTTCATGAAACATTCGAAATTCGAATTCAACTAATATTTTTTTGGCCAGCATTCAAAATAAAAAGTTGTCCGTGACAAATCTTATGTCACGATTAGGTATTGATTAGTTTACGATTAGGTATTTGTTATTATTACAGTTGTTTAAACTGTCACATAAAAAAGATAAAATTAAAAATTCTTCTTCACGATCTGATGATGCGGGCGGGCGAAGGTACGCATTCTTTCACTGTATCTACTATGTAATACTAAATTATTACTTATTAGATTTGATACTGACAAATTCGCCGGTTTTTTAGCCAAAAAGAAAGTGTCAAGATGTTTTTGGTCCTTTTTTATTTGATTTTATTAAGTTTCATTTGGTTTTATATGAAAACAAATTTATAATTTTACCAATTTAATCAGTAGATAAGCCTTTGTAGGCGCCTAATATTGTACTGTTTCACTATGTATGATGTGTTTTTAAACGGTTTTATTTAGCTCGACCCGTACAGAATTTGTTTGTTTATTTATTTGGGTCAAAATTAGAAATTGAAATTTAAGCACCTTGCCGTTGTCAGATTGATCTGAAATTTGGTACACACATTTAATTTAGATGACAATACAATATTAACAAAAAAACATAAAATAAAACCGTTTAACTTAAAAGTTTTTTAAAGTAATTATTTATGTCTATACATTTATTGATTGATTGCATTCTATAATGCAATATTTTTTTAAAATCTGTGTATATTTCTTTTGTAATCGTACAATAAAATAATGTACAATATAGCATATATTGTATTCAATTGAATGTACAACTATAAACTTACACAAAAATTTCTAAAAATTATTTTTTTCACTGTTTTGCTTAAGATTCCATATAACTTTGATTGGTATTGGACTTTGCAATCCAAAACTCCAGAAATACACCGGGGAACTTTTCAAAACCAAATAGAAAATGTCAGAAAATGTGAAATGAGGGTGAAACCAAATACCAATATCAAATCTAATAATATTTCAAGACGGTTTTGTTTTTTGTTAATATTAATGTACGTTTTCTTAAAACTCATTCAGCCAATCTGACATTTTACAATTCTTTTGCGTAAATGGAGTTAATTGAAGTGTAGAGAGTAGAGTTATTGAAGTGCATAAAGAGTACACCCATTGGCGTAATTTGAGTGCCTCATACAGTGCGCTTGTGTAATATACCCACAGTTCGAACCAATGATATTATTTGTATATAGTATCATTGGGTCGAACGACCAACTTTTAAATAAATAGTACCTGGGGGACCGAGCTTTTGGTAAATCGTATATTTTGGAAATAAAAAAAATAAAAAATAAAGAAAGCGGTAGAAAAAAGTAAAAAAAATGTGTGTAAATGATCGTGACACGAACCGTGGCCTTTTGTTCCTGGGCCGCCAGAATACCGACCAAGCTGTTATAACTTTTTTTAGATATCCTAACTATAGACTAGCTAGATCGATTTCGGACCGTTTCCGAGATTCCGATTATATATAATTAACGTAGTAAAAATAGTGTGTCTGTGTTTTATTTCCCGATAATGAATACCTTTAATCAAAAGAAAAGTCAATAACATATTAAGTAGGGCTCAGGACTCTCAGTATAGCTATTTCGTGTCTATCTGTTGTGACAAAATCCGATAAATTCAAATAAATTTTGATGATAAGCACGGTGCTTCATTGTATTAGAGCATCGCCAGGACCTGCAGCGCAATGCGGTCGTTGTCAGTTTGGTTGGCTTGGGGCGGACGGAGGGGACCGATATATTTGAGGAGCGGGACGTGGGATAAATACGTAACGAGGTGTGGAGGGAAAGGGTAATAAGTCGGGCGATCATATGTATGCGTGTGTGAGTTTGGAGCGATAACACCGATGCGCGGTCAGTGACTTCTATAATCAGGGTTGTTACAGTTAATAATTTTTTAATTTTTATCGTCAAAACATTCTTAGATTCGTATTTTAAAATTATGCCATTTCGTTCAAAGTCTGATACATATACACACATTTGTTTACATTAAATGTTACAATACGTTTCTGTAGCACCCTGTATATATATCTATATATATATATATATATATATATATATATATATATATATATATATATATATATATATATAAAAGAATTGCTCGTTTAAAGGTATTAGATAGTCCGATGGCAGTCGTCACTCACCCGAGTCGCTCTTCGTTCTGCACATCAAATAGTGCAGGACCGGGTCCGCGTCCCTCCGCTCTCCGACGCGTCCCCTCGCCTGCGGCATTTCGTTCAGGAACGGCGCGGACAGCATGCACGGCTTCCGCGACACCAGTTCCAGCTCTGGAAGATTTCGTCGGGCCACTTAAAGTCTCGGCAGTACTGTACTATCTGACTAAACTCAGCTGTAAGCCGCACCGTGACCGTCAGCGGCTTAACCGAGCCGTGATAGCTCAGTGTCCGGGCGCTCGCCTTTAATTCAATACATTCGAGCAACCCGAGTTCGATCCCCGGTTGCGGCACCAATCAAATTGTTAATTTTAAGTGCCAAATTATCACGTGATTAGCGGTGAAGGAAAACATCGTGAGGAAACCTGCATATTTTCGAAGTAATAACAAAAAAATATTTCGAAGATATGTGAAGTCGCCAATTCGCAGTGGGGCCGCGTGGTGGACTATGTCCTGATACCCTCTGTACAGAGCAGGCCTTTACCCAGCAGTGGGATTAGCTGTTGCACGAATGGGCTTAGTACCACGACCTCACAGAAGACCGGCGTGAATTAGAAGTGTTACACTAATGTGTTTCGTCTGGTGAGTGAGGTAGCCGGCGCCCACATTATTAAAGGTGGCAACACATCGGCAACCGGTGTTGCAAATGTCCGTGGGCGGCGATTATCACTTAACTTTCACTCACTTTCTCACATTAAAAAAAATTCAAATTGCTGTCGGCCTAATGGATTCTGAACGTGTCTTTTGCGCCGGAGGCTGTGGGTTCGATCCTCACTACTGGAAAAATACTTTTTATATGCATATCTATAACATGTATCTATGTATTTACAAAAGAAAAGTATGTTTAACTATGTTTATCAATTACCTAGTACTCATAGTAGCTTTATCTGTATCAGTAGCTGTATCATTTATTATAATTATATATAATAAACTAGCTGACCCGGCAAACGTTGTTTTGCCATATAAATTTTTGCAGGGTAGAAAAAAATGCTTGGGGTGGACCACCCTTAACATTTAGGGGGATGAAAAATAGATGTTGTCAGGTTCTCCACCATATCCGATATGCACACAAAATTTCACGAAAATCAGTCGAGCCGTTTCGGAGGAGTTCAATTACAAACACCGTGACACGAGAATTTTATATATTCGATTGTTCGTTCGTCCGATCGAGATGAATTTTTGTACAGATGTTTTGTTCCGAGTATTAGAAAATAAAAATGTAGTCTGTGTTTATGTTTCGCGAAATTTAACACGTTAGAGAAAACATTTGTCTATGCTTCACGATACGTTTTGCGATACGTGAGATATCTAGACTAGACATACTGACTGTTCTTTCCGTGGTCTGATGGACTAAAATAGATTAGGCACGTCCTATAGGATTATCTTTAATTTGCGATTTCTGTGACACTGTTTATGTTTAATTGCCACATCACGAAGAAAATCATTAGGTTTAAACTGTATTCAGGGCTCAAAACAATTCAAATCAAAATCAAATAAAGAAAAATAGATTTTATGGGTAATATCATCATAATTTACTTTACGGAACGCGAACTAGTGTTGCGCACGAATAATTTTAGGTTTCAAAATAAATTCTGTCTATGTTCCATTCATGCAACAGCGAATACCACGGATAAAAGTTCATCTCAATTACTGAATACCCATAATAAAAGCTTTGCTTTGTTTGGCAAGATGAAGTTCTGATCATACCAGAACTAGCAGCGTGGCTGACACGCGGAAAGCTGAGATCTTACACAGCTATCTTTGCCGTGGCAACCATGTTAATGACCGTTTGGCTACAGAACTAAGCTATTCTTTTCGAAGCTGTCTCGAAGCGTGCTTCAATTTGGATATTTTACCGCCTAAGATATGTCAATTTTTACCATCTGTCAAGCGTAATATATTATGATTCTATAAGATCCAGGAGTGTACAACTTTGACTGTGAATGTGGGCTCTCTTATTTATGGCAAACCAAAAGATCAATAGAGTAATGACGTTGGAAGAAATCTGAAGATTATGATCATATTTTAGACCGCCCCAACGATAGTATTAGATTCGACAAACCTAAAATGCTCGCAAAGAATACCGCTTCCAAGGATCCTCGAGACTATTCTAATAAAGAAATATCCGAATTTCAATAGACAAGATGATTTGGGGTTTATCATCAGCTTAGTATCCCAAAAGCTAAAAAATTAAATCCAAAAATACCAACAATGCTAGATACTATAAGCTTCTTTTGCTTAAATCGGAATAAAAGAAATAATAAAATCCGTCCAAGTCCGTCCCATGGCCATGAGTGCTGTAGTGTTCGGAAAGTCGGGCATAGTCGGAATGAAACGCGATAAAATCCACAAAATAGTTTCATTTAACCATACTCACTCTCTTCCGGGTGCTTGCAGTTGAACATTCTCATATGACAGGAGCTCATAAAGGTCCTGTATACGCCCTCCTTGCATCTGGCACAGAGCATCACGTCCCTTGCCGGGCAAACGGTGGGACAATCGCTTTTGTACTCGTCAAGGTCCACTGCAAACCACCAACATGCGTTACCGACGACTCTATGTACTGACGGCACAATGACTAGGAGTGAGGCGTATTTATCGTAACAGGTAAATATAACAGGTATCTCGAGATAACGGACTGTACCTGTTACGAACAAACTTAAATAACACAAACTTTTCTTTATTCACGCTTACGACTGTTACCTTAGTTAGAAAGAGATAAAAACTGTTACTTTTTGTCACAATTCTCACTGAACACTCTCTGTTCCAAGCTCTTTCTTTTTCTTGCATCGGTCTTATAGCTTCGTTAGAAAGAGAAGTACGGACGATACCATAGAGTAACGTATTGTAACAGCTGTTATTTTGTAACAGGTATTTGTCACTGTTACTTTTAAGGAACAGGAACAGGCGTAACAGGTACTCGATTTAACCTAGTATAACTCACTTCTAACTATGACTTCATTAGTGCCATCAACACTTTGTGAGATGATGGAAAGGTGGATAGTGCCTCAGAAATTGAGATGGCGCTATACGAATTGGAACAAGCTTGCCGAATTACCAAAGAAACACGATTTAATAATTTTAACAACACATCGGGATGATAACTGAGTGAGCGAAGACCATGGACCATGGACGCTCAGAACACCAGGAGTTGCAGGCGTTGACAACCACTGAGAGTAAATCTAAGGTACGAACGCTTTCTGACACCTATCTCTTAAATTTTGGGGCTTACCCGCCCGAGATAGTCTATTCCACTCTATCAAGCGGCGGAAATCGTATTTGTTTAAATTCATATTTTTTATTTCGATATTGATTTTGTTATAGAGAAAAATAAATAAGCAATATATTTATTTAATTCGAAATCAATAGCACTTAGCTACAATTAAATAATTTAAATTAAAAAAGTAATTCATGTTAAAAATTCACAAACAAAAAGACACAATTAACGACCAAACAATCATGTTCCAGTATCGGCAGTATCGGTATGCTTGTATTTAATATTAAGATTTATAGGATCCGAAACTTCTAGCTATACTAAACCAACTTATCAAATGTTCTCTGCACACGTTGGTTGGAAGGTACAGTTTAAGATTAAAAATTTAAAACTATGTCCAACTAAGTGGCTTAAAAATAAGCAAAGTTAAATGTCGTTTTGAGATAGTTGATTTGGAGTCGAGTTGATTAGAAATGTTCCGTATATAAATTGATAATAAACTTAGAAAATGCGGGCTATGTAATAAACTTCAGAAAAGTATAATATTTTTATTCTTTATTGTACACAGAGTATAAGTTGAAAACAAAGTTACAAAAAAAGAATGTACAAAGGCGAGCTTAACCCTAAAAAGAGTTTTCTTCCAGCAAACCCTGACATAAGATTGATGAGAAACAAATCATTACATTATGATAGGTAGGTGTGTAAAACTAGATATACTTATACTCTAAACTCAATTTTTTATCACTCTACCGAGCTTAGAGAGAATGCCCGACTATTATTTTGAATTTATTATTTGTCATCGGTTATTTTATGCTGAACTTCAAATCATTCGCCCCTAGATGTGGTGAAACGTGAATTTCAAATTTTGGTTTGATTACACTAAAATATTTTTTAAAATCTAAATGTAGTTTGAATTGTTTGTAGTGTAGTTGAATTTGTTTTAAAATATTTTTTTGGTATTTCACCGTGTTCGGTTATAAAACAGATTTCTGATGTTTTCGACACTACTGTATCTCATGTTGCGGGACGGACTGAAGTGCTTTAAATTAACAACGTAACAACTAACTTATTTAAGTGCTAGCTAAGCAAGTGATGTGACATATCAACTATAAACAATATCCCATTACGCAATGCAATGAAGAGGATACTAAAAGATTACATGGCGTTCATTAAAGATTTCTAGTAGAGAAAAAAATTTGCATGAACGAAAGAAGACCGTAGCCTCATATATACTTTTGCATTTCATCTGGTGCGACAGATAAGTGGTCTGTGGGTCCAAAGGTAAGCAATGCATCTGCAACCCAGCAGGCGTTGTAGACGTCCATGGGCGACGTAAATAGTATAACAGGTGACCTCCACACTTGTCACTACATACAGGTAAAGTTGCGAAACAAAATAAGTCACATACCGTCTTCGTAATCTGGTGGCTTATTCGTGACGTAGTCGTCACCGGGTGGTTGCTGGTCTTGATCATTTGATGGATCAGCTGCAGCATCCGACGGCTTTTCGACGTCCATATCCTCATTCTTTCCGTCACCGTCGTCTGCCACCGCTTTTCCTTGAATGTCTTCGCCTTCCTCTTGGGTAGCTGGGTCTTCTTTTTGGGGGTCTTCGCCTTCTGGAGTTATTTTTATTACGATCTGATCTTCCTTCTCGGAGCCCGCCTCTTCGGCATCTGCTGTTTTAGGTTGTGTCTCATCTCGGTCGCTTGTGTTAGCGCCGTCCGCCGCTAACTCTGGAGCGGCTTCCGTTTCAACCTGATCTTCCCTCTCAGTATCAACCTCTTCTGCCTCCGCTGACTTGGGCTGTGACTCCTCTGGGTTGTTAATTTGCGCTTGGTCTGCCGCTAACTCGTCCTGCTTGTCTTTGTTGACTATAAAATTCACTGAAACCATTGGCGCTTTAATTTTAACCGGGTCCTGATCGCCGTTGCTCTGCTCGGTGTTTTTCAAGCCCCGTGCTTCGTTGTCAGAATCATCATTTTCTTCCACGTTTCCTTCTTCCTTCGCTTCTTCGTTTTCTATATTCTTCGTGTTCTCTTCTTCGTCCGCTTCTTCGTTTTCTATATTCTTCGTGTTCTCTTCCTCGTCGGCTCCCTCGTACTGTCCGTTATTCTCCTCTTCAATTCCTTGCTCATCTTCCTCGTCGATTCTTTGGGAATCTTCTACCAGCTCAATGTTTATATTAACACCGCCACCGGGCGGCTGTACTTTGCGATCATCATCTAAAAGAGGTTTAGTTGAATGTTAAGTGAAGTCACATGAATTTAGTAACGTGTGTAGTGTTTTTCTTGTAGAAAATACCCAAAATCTAAATAAATCATTTGTTGTTTTGTAAAGAATTACGCGTTTTTGAGGTATATCAATGAAGGAATTTGGGCAAGGCCTGTTTTAAAATTAGCTCCAGTAAGAGATTGAGATTCATAATTGTTTTATTGTAAATCAAACAATGGGATACTTCGGTCAAGACATGACTAGAGTCCAAGTAGAGACAATATATTATTGCCATGTTTTTTGCCATTGCCACCCCCATACTAGGAATATCCTGTGTCGTGGGTGCGTTGACAGACATAAATTTAACATACACAAATGCTCAGCCCTTTTTTATGTCAGAAGCTGGCAAGCGAGCTGGCAGCTCACCTGATGTTAATTGATAACCGCCGCCCATTTACATTCGCAACACCCGTAGTATTTCAGGTGCGTTACCTTTTAATAAACTGGACCCCGGCCACCGCACTCACCATAAGATACGCAGAATTATAACACTTCCACATCACGGCGGTCTTCTCCGAGGTCGTAGTACTTACCCGGACGGACCCACCCACTCGTGCAACAGAGACTGCGTTTACTGTTAAACTTTCGAATCGATTATGTTACTTTACCGTCGTCAGCTTCTTCTTTGTTGCCGCCGTCATTCAAAGGCAATAGCTCGTCATAACTGGCGTGTACTGGGAACGAAATCTTTTCCGGTGTCGCCCCGTTTTGATCCGTCTCCAAATTGGCTTCGGCGCTCTCCGTGGCAACGTCGCGTTGGGCGTCGGAACCGCCGGCTTCCTCGGCCTCCGCATCTTCCTCGTCATCAGCGTCTTTCCGGCTTTTGGGGCCGAAGTAGAGTGAGCGGTATTCGACCCTCGGTGATTCTTTGGTGGCAACACGTTTTCGGGCCACCTGGGTCGCGATTTTGTTGTCTTGAGATGGTCCAGTCGCTGGAACAGGATATTGGCAACGTTATTTGTCTCCCTCAAGCCCAGGGCTGGCAAAGTGGATAGCGAAGCTATCTCTCGCACTGGAGTGTGCGTTTCATCCCCACTAATGGAAATATATCATGTTACAAGTAATATAGACTAGTGACCCACCCGGCTTCGCACGGGTGCAATAATAAATAATGCTAATTGTCTACGCCATTTTATTAAAAAAAAAAAAATTTAAAAAATATATAAATATTTAAGTTTCACAATCATGTTTAATTTCATTATAACGCACACATCACTCATTACTGGCAATAATATGCACATCCGCCCATATCCCTCCCCTTCCGCTTCCTATAAAAGCGCGAAGAAATGCAGATTGACCTCTTTCTCAACGCTCGCACCGCACGCATAAAAACTTCAGTCACCACAGCGCTGTGGTGAATTCGCTAGTTTTATTAAGCTCAAAATTAATAGCATAGTGTTGTGGGAAAAGACCAGTGACCGCCGTTCAAACTGAGATATCGAAGGACAACTCCGACTCCAGCTTCCAGGTACCTAACTTTTCCTACACTAATACTAAATATACTCTACTATATTTTGCATGTATTATACATATAAACCTTCGTCCTGAATCACTCTATCTATTAAAAAAAACCGCATCAAGATCCGTTGAGCAGTTTTAAAGATCTAAGCATACATAGGGACAGACAAAGAGCGGAACGACTTTGTTTTATACTATGTATAATGTAGTGATGCCAAACTGCAGTGGGCCCCCATATTAATAAGCTGGCGAGTAGACTTAGCGCAAAAGACAGCTGACCGATGTAAATACAGCTCGTTTGGTACATTTCAGTTATTTCCACGGTATAATGCCTTATGGATTCTAGGCGTTACTTTTGGGTAACGCGGCCGATATAAATACAAACTTCATACTGCAAAAGAGAGTTATTCGTGCAGTTTATAACCTAAGCCCAAAGGATTACTAAGATTATTCAGAGATTAAAAGATTGACTGTTCATTCTCAGTACATACTTGAAAATGTACACATACTATGTATGTCCATAAAAACAGTAATTAATTTTCGAGACACGCGAATGTGCATGATATAAATACTAGGAACAAACATCAATTAATTCTACCCACAAGTAGTAATTCTTTTATGGGACAATGTATCAATCTATCTATCTAATACCTTTAAACGAGCAATTCGCACCGTGCGTAGAATAACGTTCTGTGGTCACATAGAACGAATTTGATTTTATCATTGGAAAGTCTTAATGATTGTCTACGCTTTCAGATGATGTTAATTTTTTTTTCGTCTGACTTATAGATATTGAGATTCAGAATAGAACAACGTTCTATCTGATTTGTGCTCCTATATATAATAATAATTTGAATTATTATTATATATAGGAGCACAAATCAGTTACAAATAATTTACAATAATTTACAATTTTGCAGATGTCACGTTGTTCTACGCAGGGTGCGAATTCTTGTGTGTATTTCTTGTGTGAATTACTTATTCTACGCAGTCTACTTGTAGGTACAATGTCCTTTTATCCCTGTTTTCAGGGAATGAAAAATATCATTTGAATATGACGGTAAATTTCATCGAAAAAAAACGTTATAATAGCTCGGTCGGTAATTGGGCGGCCCCAAAACAAACGGACGCGGATCCTGTCACGATCATTTACACACTTATTTTTTTAATTTATTTTCGATTCCCGATCATTGCTGATATTTTGTTACTTTTTCCCTTTTTTTTAAAGTTCTTTCTTTTGTGGAAAACACCAGGTGACCAGCATGCTCGTTTGCCTCCTATTCGAAAAAAAAAAAAAAAAAAACCAGTTCATATTTTCTTATTATTACGTCGGTAAGATCGAAAAATATTATGCATATTTCATTACTCGGTAATTTGTATCTAAATGTAATTTCCAAAATACATGATTTACCAAAAAAAAATCCTCCAGGTACGTTTTTACAAGAAAATCCCAGAAAACGTTAAGCTATTTTAATATTTAAATGATAACAAACCCTGGAAATGAATTGGTCGCTCCAGGCTCTTTCAAGTGGACTTCAATACATTTGTAAGCAAGTTTCTTTTCAAATTATGTCAACTTGAAAAGTTCGCAAGCGAGCGTGTGGTTTACCTGATTTAAAGTGTTTACCGACATTCATGGACATCCACAACACGTGAGGGTTTGCAGACGCGTTGCCAACATTTACTTGTGTCCGTCGGACAACAGAATAGGCACGCTTCTTCTATCTGACGTAATCGAAGGCGTTTGGCATCACGCGTGTTTCTTTGTCTATGTCTGGCGGCGCGCACGTTTCCATCGGAAAGAACCGCTTGCCCAGGTGCCATCTCTTCGAAATAAAATAAAAAAAAGATGCAACTCGCACACGTGTCGTCTGTTTAACTGTGGTAGGACCATGCACCAGCTTCGGTTGTTGCACGAATGGGCAGGTCCGGGTAAGTACCGCGACCTCACGGAGATCTGCGTAAAGTCGAAGTGCCCAGTGCGTAGGGGCCCACTTTATTAAAGGGTGGCAGCGCATCTGCAACCCTAGAGTTTTTGTAAATGTCAATTGGCGGCCGTTATCAGTTAACATCAGGTAAACCAGCAGCTCGCTTGTCATCTCCATGAGGAGAACATATATATGAATATAAAAAAAACACTTTGTCGATATTTTCAGATGCTTTTTGATAAGAACTAGCCAATGCTTTGCGATACCATCGAGGATGGTAAGGCACTAGTTCAGTAAATGCCTTTTCAAATTCTCACTCTTGCCTAGAACAATCCTTTGTTGCTTTCGGATGGAAAGAAATCTACTCACCTATGGTTGGACTCCTTTTTACCCTCTTTGAGCCAGCTTTGGTTGCTATAAGAAAAATATTACCCGTTTAATATTAAACGATTTAACTACATAGTAATACCACAGAGGCGTTATAACTCAGTCTCCAGGGGCTCCTTTAAATTCAATATACTCGAGCAACCTGAGTTAGATCTCCGGTGCCGGGACCAATGAAATTGATAATTTTAGTAGTCAGCGTAGATGACTATGCCCTAATACCTTCTGTACAGGGAGGCCTTTGCCTAGCAGTGGGACATAATATCTATAGAGGCTGTTACTTTACTTTAATATAGACGCCACAACGAATAAAACTTTGCCATTTGCATCCAACGGTTGCCCGCGACTCAAGGGTTGTTGCTCCACCTAGTGGGGAGCCTTCTAATACTACGTCTTGTCTTGGTCGTCACTCAAGAACTTCCGAACGTCTACGCATACCCGCCCTCTCGGGGCAAGAGCGGGTAATGTTGGACTCGCACCGACTAAAATCCCCACGATGCTCCACCTAGGCACATATCGGTGAGGCCACGGGAACGCTCAGCAGCCCCATCCCGGGGAGCAACTCCACTGTCCTCCAGGTAAGGCGCGCTGGAACATTCAGTGCGCCTTCCTATTCGGCGCTTTCTTCACAGCCAACGTACTCCCCCGAGTTCGCTGACCAGAAGCCATAGGAGCCAGGAGCCAGTGCCAATAAGCAGCAAGCCTCCCAACCACCAGCGGCGGTCCTGTTTTCTGATTCGCCGCTCACCACGTTTCGGCTGCGGAGGGTAGGGAGAACCCCCACGGTACAGTCCCGCCGAGTCGCGGAGGGTAGGGAGCGCGGCCAAACGCAACACCGACATTCCTCTTCGCCTGCTACTCTTCCTCGGTAGCAGAAGACAAGTAGAGTGGCTCCTCTTCTACTATCTCCGACCTGTCCCCTGTACCTTCCAGCACGCAAACAGAGTGGACTAAATGAGCCCAATCCGACCGGTCCTCTCGGACCGCCCTTGTACCACAGGCTGGCCCAGTGTGGGTGGCATCCTCTTAGCTTCGCCGTGGGAGACCAAGCCACGGCTAGAAAGCCCCTCCAGTCTAAGGGGATTGCCAGTTCAACTTGAAAATCCGAGAATTATGTAGGCAATGGCTGTGTGACCTCCAACTAGATGGAGTGCCAAACTGTGCAAATGTGCTGGAAATCGATGGATGCAGGTTGCTCAGGGTCGTACTTCGTGGCAGTCTGCGGGGGCGGTCTATGTTTCTTTTTTAATTTTGTTTTTATGTCAAAAGTTGTCAAACGAGCAGACGGTTCACCCGATGTTAAGTGAATACCGCAGCCCATACACATCTGCTACGGGTTGCAGATACGTTGACAACCTATTGAAAATTGGGCTTTTTAGGAGTCGATTGTAACAGGCTGAAGTGATGACGATAATGAAGTACACCTCTCTCCATAGCTAAACCATTGTTCGTTTTACCTTAATAACATGATACTGATCACACTTACGAGTTTCTGATGGGTGTTTGTGGTCGCAATGTTTCATCGGCACCACGACCGCCTCCAGCTCTGTACAAACAAAAAGCGAAGCAATTAAATAACCATAGGAATCTTTTTGATATTGATAGCTTCGAAGCCATCACTAAAAATATCTAGAGAGGAGCGGTATAGCGGCGGATCTAGAGAGGGCGGTTCAAATGGTAGCAGCCAACTCGGTTAAATGAAAACAAATTACGCATAAAAACCTATTTACTAAAAAAAATTATGTTTATTTTTAAGTAAATTTTAATTATAGGTAGAATTTAAATTTCTAAAAAAAAACTCAACTCGTTTGAGTTATCGTTGTAAAACGATAGGTATTAGAACTTGTTTGTATGCTGGAAAGGATATAACAATGCATGCGCAGAGCATTGCTTCAAATGCTAAAGAAAACAACGTAGATAAAAGACGTTAAGATTTTCGTCGGTATAACAATCGGCCGTTTCGCTTAGTCGCTAAAGCGTTGAGGCGCGAATCCCGTAGACATGGGTTCGATTCCCAAAGCGGCGAAAAACTTTTAAAACTAATATTAACTACGGATTTCGCTAAAGCAAGGCTACGCAAAGGTAAGCCAAGTTATTATAATGATAATGTTTATGTTAGACATCCTTATACTTGTAGTTCAAACTGGAATAAAAAATTAATGAGCATACAACTCTCGGGGCCTTTAATTTAGTTCTTAAATAGCATTAACTTCGTTGTTTGGTAAAGTTCAACCTGAACTCTTGTCTTTAAAATTTCACTATTAAATTAATTCGGCAATAAAAAAATGCGGGGCTTACCTTCATGACATTTCATATATTCCAATTCGCATTTGTTTATCACGATTATGTAAATGTTTTTCGGTGTGTTACGATTTTTACTCTTCAATTTCACGCATACCGGATGTTCCACTGTTGGACATTTTATATAGCTGCATTTCTTTCGGTGAGAATCACCGATCACCTTCAATTTAAGTGCAGATGGCGCTGTAAGCTTATCGCGGTTTAAGCCTGACACTTGAGTAGAGAAATAAAGATGGCCGACTGTAATAAAAGACATTTTCGCATGCTATTTTTACATACTTTTACTTGTTCTTATATAATCAATGTTTAGTTAAATTTTTTAAACTGAAAATGGCACAATTCGAACAGTCCACGTCTCACTTCCATGCGAAATATAGTAACAACAATAATAAACATTTATTGCCACACCATCATTTAGTCCAAAAGCAAGGCTGTTACTATGAGCTAAACATACTTCATCAAGTATGATGATAGGATAGAATAGTAATCCTTCTTATTTTTCTCAGACGTTAGAAAAATACAATTCATCACACAGTATTTGATGTTCATCAACATCACATAATATTTTGCCCTAGTAAGGATCGAACCCACACCCTCTAGCGCAAGAGACAGTTTCCCTATCCACTACGTCAATCGAATTTCAGCCCTTATTTAGCGTTTATAATAATTCTAAAAAATGTATACAATTTTATAAAATGTTATGACATACATTGAATTCAGCCTTCTTTTAGGCCAAATTGTGTAAATTGGGTCTGTGATTTTAGGTTTGATTGATTTTTGATATTAATATTGTGTTAAATGATAATACTCGCCGTATTGTGGTTATCAACCTTTCTATAAACGTTTTATGACGCTCTAAAGACCTGAAATTACCATGTTTTATGCTGAACTCTAACAGTTGAGTAACCTACAAGAGTTTTCTTTGCCCAAAATTAAAAAACGTATGAGACAGGTATCGTAGATTGATAGATTTTGCGTATTTGTCATTTATATTGAACCGTGCCACAAATTTTTTGCAAATCAATAAATGACACATAAGAAGACCAAATTTAATTTTCGACTTATTTTTATAGACATGACACCTTTGAAAAAGTGTGCCCAGTTTACCTCACTCACCAAACGAAACGCGAAAGTATAGTACTCCTACACCCATTTAATGTCGGCGTTCTGTGAGGCAGTGTGTGTTATCTCGAGGTCATACTACAGTAAGCCTCCCTTCAAAATATAACTCTTTAATTTTATTCCCTTATGTAATACGTACCAAGTAATACGAAAGCTGCTATGTGTCTCATAATGTTTTAATCACAATGTTGCCACGTAAAAATGTACATTGTTAAATTGGAAGAAAACTAATCGATTTCCAACCTCGCTCCGCTGATTTTAACTGTTTATTTTTAATTGGAAATTTGTTTCAAAATGTAAGTGGTATATAATAAGAGTTTAAAACTTATCGGTCGGGTGCGTAACAGCTATCGCTGTTGATCTTTATTTATGTGTTAGATATAAGTTATTTTAGACCGGCGTGAAGTGAAACTTATACGTTTGAGTCTTATGGCTCTTGACTTACTGTTGCAAATGGTGGTGAGGTTCTTTCTCGCTCAAAGGTTGAGTAGTATTACCATTCCGAGGTCTGCATCGCCACTTACCATCAGGTGGGATGGCAGTCAAGCTGGCCAGTTTTGAATTTAAAAAAAAAAGATACATAGCTACATTTCTATTTGTTCTATAATTGGTTATCTGGATAAAATGTATAAATTTGTAAATAATGGTTGTCATTCATCGAGATACCATCGAGATAGACGTTGGACTATGCTCCACAACCTTTCGGCACCGTAGGCCATGGCCTACGGTGCCGAAAGGTTGGTAAGACGCGCTGATTATTGACCTCTGAGTCTTAAGAGTGTGGAGTTCTCGACTTAAAGATCTGACGAAGTTCCTGAGTTGTTTGATTTGCATAAAGTTTTTTTTACCCATCAGCAGATCTTGCACAAGAGAAATAAATTTCTTAACAACTTTGGGCGGTTTCATTGGCGGGCCAATGATGAATGGTCTATCCGTCTCGTAAACAAGATTTTGTTTTGTTCATGTTCATATCATCACTAATTATTCTAGAAAGTTCAGCTAGATCGGTGAGCAATAGTTGACTACTGCAATGACTCCGCTATCAAGAAGAACAAAGTACAAAGACTCAAAAGAGTCTTCTGGTGAGGCCGTTTGTGATGATACTCGAAAGAATATGTGGCTCAAGTGAGTGATTTTTCAACCGGTTTTGTCGCCTAACTATAAATATTAAAACTCTGAAACTCTTTTGCCACGTATTCTGCAATTCTCTCACTGCTCAGAATGTCTGCTGAGATGTTTTGAGCTCGCGATCTCTCTTTGAGGCCCGATCTCCCTCCAGCCTTCAAAGGTAACGAAGTGATGCCGTCTTCGCTGGTAGCTTTTGCCTGCTGAAGCTGCTTCATCAATCATACTTGGCTGATTACCGACATCTCGTCGAAAATGTAGCGGACCACCACTCTGCACCCGAATCTTACTTGCTCGGTTTGCATTCCAATAAATAAATAATGTTTTAGCCAAGAAAAGTAAACATAAACATTATGTACACAATATGTACAAGATGGGAGAAAACTATATATACCCTGAGTGTCAAAATACACAAAATGCTTTACAATGCTCGATAATATAACGGATAACGGCATAAAGTGAAAATGCGACCATCGCTAAAAGCCGCCTAAGTTGAATTCTTAGACGTAATTAACATAAACATTACTTTAACAATCCATTGAAAGTATGTTATTAGATTCAGGTGTATACGTACAGGATTACTCTACTTAATAATATTTTCTCATTAAGTACTAAATTCATTAACTACACCTTAAGTTTTTTTTTCAACATTCAATGTCGATAAGACATTATCAAAATTGCTAAACTAACGTTTAATGAAACTCCTTTAAGTTTTTCAATTTATATAATACTAATCTCTGCACTTAGGATGAAACATTAAAATTTGCAGAAAAAGTACTTTTCGCCGCAGTGAGAATTGATCTCATATCTTCGGGATCGCGCACAGACGTTTTAGCCACTAAGCTTGTAAAACGAAAGTTGTATCTAAAACGTGGTTACGTCTGTAAAACCCTTTAGAGCTTGACATATGACTTAGGACATTGACACTGACAATGAAAACTGATTACTGCTGGTTACTCGCTAATCGTAGGAAGTCAATTATTACCAAAAGTTTAGAATTATAGTTCTATACAATATTCGTTAGGTATGCCTTGTAAAGAAATGTAACAAACAAAGTCATTTTTGTGATGTAAAGTTAGAAGTTCATATGTTCACTGTACAGGCAGCATTCAACAATGGATCAGTTTTTATCTACAACTTTTAACCGATTGGTAAGAAATTATTTTTATTATTTCAATCTCTTGTACAACACAACTTCTATTATATTTTTTTAATGGTTTGCTGGCGATATAACATCTTTATGTCTGATTTCTCCTATATCATTCAAGTTGTAACTTCAAATATTATAGCAATAGGTTTGGTAATTAAATCAGCCTATTTTCAATTTTGAATTTTCAAATTGCAAATTACACACCTAAATAAAATAAACAAGTTATTATAAGGTGGTTTCTGATCTATAAATGATTATAGTTAAAATGTTATCAACTTTTTTTAAATAATACATATAGATTATCTTAAGAAATAAAAGTAATATCTCAGATAATGCACCACATCTTCATTTTAGGAATTCACACTTGCTTTTGGTGGAACACCAAATATGTATTATATAATTAAAACTCCCTGGATTGAGGAATGTTTTTAACTATCACTTCTCCAATTGCTTCATTGTAATCCAAGTCTGTGTGTATATTATATGTGCTTTCTCTTCTTTTGCATCTTCTTTAGTGTTTAAAGAATATCAAAATTACTGCCGTTTTTACTGTATTAAATATTTGTAAGCGTTACTTTTTTGTAAGTCCCTAATTTTAAAATACAAAAGCTAAATACAACTTCCTAATTAATAACTGTTTTATTTTTCTAGAAAACCAACAACTTTTCCGAGCTAAATATTGTCTTAGGCAATGAGAGTTGTGACCTAGACTCTGCTGTTAGTGCAATAGTGTATGCCATGTTCTTAAACTGGCAGTATGATCAGATCAAATGTAAGGTGTGCACGAAGAGCCACCGGAGTGACAGCGAGTACAAGGATAACATTTTCGTACCACTGCTGGACGTTGAGAGACAGGATTATATTTTGAAAACAGAGGTTGCATATTGTTTGGGAGACCATGGTATAAAGGAAAGCAGTTTAGTGTTTAGGTAAGCAATAAATAAAATTTACACTATTACATCCTCTTTTTTCAAGCTTGAAAAAATTTTAGCCCGCCATAGATTATCTGATTACAGAAGACTCAACGCCACCGAGCCTAAAAAGCTTGACCCTGAAATTGTTATTCCAATATGTTAGCCACTGACTAATTATTCAATATGTATTTGATTTATGTACCAGGTGTCTTAGAACACACCTTCAATTTCAACCAACATTTATTTTATTTAATCTTTATTGCACTAAAAATTGTACAAAGGCGAGCTTAATGCTATATTGCATTCTCTACCAGCTAACCCTAGGTAGAACAGAGACATAATGACAAGGGCAGTAAAGTACTTGTAATCGTTACATAATCAAAAAATATTTCATAATAAGGTTATAAATCTAAAAACTACCAACATAAAACATATGTAGATGAATATACTTATATATTTATACATATACAGTAAATATACTTAAATATTCATATTACATATAACGAACCTAATAATATTTATATATGTATATACTCGTATACCAGATGTTCGTAAGTTCCAGATGATAGTAAGCACTATTAAGGTAGGTAAGACTCAGCAAGGATATGCTCAAACAATTTTCTTTAAACCCCATTGATAAAAAACTAGTGAAGTCAAACCGGGCTCTTAGGGAGCCACTCAATGTGGAATCATCTTTATTCGGAAGAATTTATGTAGAGATTATAATAGAGTTGTTCGTTGTGTGTGTGTGTTTGTGTGGGTGGCTCCATCATATTGAAACTATGAGGGCTGATAGTAAAGTTCATCATCATTTCAGCTTGTTTGAGTCCACTGCTGAGTATATGCCATACCCACAGACTGCTAAAGCACAATCTTAAGCCAACTGCATCCCTCGACTACCCGCACATTTGCACAGGTCGTCTCATCATCTAGTGGGTGGTCATCCTACACTGTTATGGCCATTACGATTTGTACTCAAGAACCTATATTATGCTGATTGCCACACCGATAAAAATCTCAAAGACTTTTAGCTTAGTGGTTCAAGTGTCTGGACGCGAAATTGGAAGACGTGCGTTCGATTTCCAGCAGCGTCTAAAAACTCTTCATCCTTTTGTCTATCGAATAATCCAATATTATTACACAAAGGCATTTGCTTTGTGTAATAATATTGGATTATTCTCATTCAAACCACTGACAATTTTGACGATTGACACATTTGTTTAAGTCAAAAATTTTATAAATGTTGCATTATTTAAAGAATAGAAAAAAAAATCTAATGTATGTAATCTGCCAAAACACATCCTGCAATGTGTCCGTACTCACTTAGCAGGGCATATTTCTAAAGGTTTTGACCCAACCTTTCAGGGACGACATCGACATTCAGACCCTGCTGCCGTTGCACAAGACCAACGTGATCCTGGTAGATCATCACACCCTGGCCGAGAGGTATTCCTTCCTCGCGCCGTACGTCACAGAAGTGATAGACCACAGGCCGTACGATAGCAAGCGCTGGCCCTTCAAGGAGGACACCAGGAGGATGATAGAAACTGTCGGCTCCTGCGCCACGCTGGTCGCCCAAAGGATGAAGGACCTAAGCGCTCTCATCAGGAAGGACATGGATTTCTTCGACGCGTACACGTCTTGCGCCGACCTGCTTCATTGTAAGTGATCTTGATTATCGCGATTATGGTGGAAATGTCCTTTTATCCCTGTTCTCAGGGAATGAAAAATATCATTCGAATATGACGGTAAATTTCGCCGAAAAAATAATTTTATAACAGCTCCGTCGGCAATCGGGCGGCCCCGAAACAGAAGGCCGTGGTTCGTGTCACGATCATTTACACACTTTTTTTTTTACTTTTTTTCGATTCCAGATCATTGCTTTCTTTATTTTTTGTCGATACAGATGATTCTGTTCTTTTTTTCCTTTTTTTAAAAGTTCTTTCTTTTGTGAATAACACCAGTTCATATTTTCTTTTTATTACGGCGGTAACATCGAAAAATATTATGCATACTTCATTACTCAGCAATTCGTATCTAAATGTAATTTCCAAAATACACGATTTACCAAAAAAAAAAAACAAACCGAGCAAGTTCGGTCCTCCAGGTACAATGTATTTATTTAGAAAAGAAAAGTATGTTTAACTATATTTATCAGTTATCTAGTACACATAGTACAAGCATTGCTTAGTTTGGCTCTCGATAGTGTTGTGTGATATGTCCTTGAATATCTATTTGTCGCAATAAATTGGTTGTATAGATGCATTTATTTACAGGCGCTATAGTGTTGGACACTGTGAACTTTTCCAAGGAGCTGAACAAAGCCACTCCCCACGATAAGGAGATAGCGGAATTCCTCGAGGGCATACTCAAGCCGGATGATGTGCAAACTGCCAGGTGAGATCTATTAGTCTTTTGTGGTCAAGGTCATTTTGAATGACAATGATGACTACTAGAGCAGTTTTAAGTGTCTTCCATGGAGTTGAAGACTTCTTTTTAGGGCTCCCTACTCAAAGGGTAAAACGGTACCTTACTACTAAGACTCCGCTGTCTGTCTGTCCGTCTGTCACCAGCCTGTATCTCATGAACCGTGTTAGTCAGACAGTTGAAATATTCACAGATTATGTATTTCTGTTGCTGCTATAACAACAAATACTAAAAAACAGAATAAAACGATATTTTAGTTTTAGTTAGTAATGGTCCGTAACCCTTTCCGACTCGCACTTGGCCGCTTTTTTTTACTACAAGCTTGACTGTGAATATTGACTCTCTTGACAAACAAAAAGAGCAATAAAGATCTGCAGGACTGTCGACAGCTCACTTAAATATACGCTACTAACGGCTTGGCACGGGTGCAATGCTGAATGTTTGTTTTCGACATCGCATTAGAAACCTCTAAAATTATCAGTGTTTCTCTACTGCATGACTTCTCTGATGCATGAATTATACATATAAACCTTCCTCTTGAATCACTCTATATATTAAAGATAAACCGCATCAAGATCCGTTGCGTAGTTTTAAAGATCTAAGAGTATATAGGGACAGACAGACAGCGAGACGACTTTATTTTATACTATGTAGTGATCGACAAGTTTGCAGTCTGCGAGCACACCTCGGAGCCAACATATCAGGTTTGATAGACCACAGATGGGCAAACCAACAGTGTTCATTGTTGCACGAATGGCCAGGTCCGCAGGAGAAGACCACGATCTCACAGAAGACCGGCGTGATACACTTATCGTCTGGTGAGTGAGGTAGCCGGGGCCAAACTTATTAAAACTTGGCAACGCAACCCTACGGGTGTTGCAGATGTCCATGGGTTGCGGTTAGCACTTAGCTTGAGGTGAACCGCCAGCTCCCTTGCCACGTTTACAGGAAGTCGAAAATGGAGAGGTTGGTCAGCGCGCGATGTGACGTCACTTCCCTCTCCGCCGCCCAGCTGATGAGGAAGGACGTCAAGGTCGTTGGCGACGTGCTGGTGCCCAGTTTCCCGATACCGGTGAAGGTGAGATTTTAATTAATTCACTGACGCCCGTTTTCTGGAACACTGAACGCTGATCAACTTCTAGTTACGATGATGGTTACGATCATTAAGAAGTTCATTCTGGTCAATTCAAAGGGTTTAAGCATCATTTCGGCAACTCAAATGACATTTGAGAAGCCATTTGGCAGCTGATTAGTTAACTTCTAAGATGAAACCGCGTTTCTCTTCGCATACAATGGTTTCGACCTTCGAACTGACCCAGTCTGCTCTCGCTTCCCTAACAGGAGTTCCTGGGGAAACCCGGAGCCCTAAAGGCCGTGGCCGAAGCCCTGGCTGGTCGGGGCTGCAGCGTGGCCCTTCTATTGGGGATGAGACTGTCCCCGGAACTGCGGAGAGACGCCGCTATTTACGGGCCCAGTGACGTCACAAAAGCCGCCAAGGTACCTACTCCGCAACAAAAATTCCCGTATACAAGCACGGAGGAATAAATTAATGTTTATAAATATTTTCAGGATACATTTTTACTCTTGTCCCTAAGCAACGTTTGTACTATGGGTACTAGATAACTGATAAACATACTTAAAGATACTTTTGTTTTGTAAATAAATACATATTATACATATACACAGACACTGGTAAAACACTATGTTCTCACACAATATTTTTCCAGTAGTGGGGATCGAACCCACACCCTCTGGCGCAGGAGGCAGGTACACTACCCACTATGCCACTCATGGAAGAACAATTATTTATACAACTTTCTCTTTGAAACAATTTGGCTTTTGCAAATCATTGTTGCATATAAGTACCTATTCGAGTACAAATTTCTTAAATGATACTATATTTCTTTCAAGTAAAATGTTTTTAAATATTTATTATTGCAGACCTAACCTAACAAATGTTAAGAATGTGTGACCCACGGATAGTTGTTTCGCATCTGGGTGTTTGTCCGCGTGAAATTTATGTTTGTAAAACGTCCTTACAACATTGGATTATGTTATCCTAAAGTAAAGGCAATGTTTTTAAAAAAAATAAAATGAAAACACAACAAACAAAAAAACTGTTACCGTCCTGGAACTCGGCTCTACCTTGTGTTGGTGAACTATTTGTTCTTGTGTCTTTGCATTATTTCAGGTTCAAATTCATCTAAAACGGATGCCACTAAATAGGAGTGGTTATTAAAGCTTCTAGAAAATGACTTTTGCTATCAAAATCAAAAATCAAAATCAAATCATTTATTCATCGAAATGAGAAATATACATTTCAACTATCGATAGTCATTTTTTAATATACCACCGTTTCGTAATGAGGTTCCTACATGCTATGCCCTTACAAGACCCCTAGCTGCCGCTTATTTTATACTTAAACTAGCTGTTGCCCGCGACTACGTCTGCGTAGTAGGTGTAACATAATAATTTGTATATAAATTACAGCATAATTATGTCTTATTCTGATGTATAAGCTATATAGTTGTAATGTTTCATTAAATTCCATTCAGTAGTATTGGCGTGAAAGAGTAACAAACATCCATCCATACACACAAACTTTCGCCTTTATAATATTAGTAAGGATAGTAAGAATAGTAAGAATATTTTTGTGTACTTAAGCAATAAAAAAAAAAGATAAGACATAAGAATTTCTTGTCATTTCTTCTCTGGAGATCTAGTTTAGTGAGTGTTGTTTAGTTTCTTAGCCTATATCGAATAAAGAAATTATTAATGACTTATGCATAGTCAAGAAGTTTTCCATCACATAGCATAAAGTAAGGGCAGTGTTTTTTAAAAAAAGTAAAAAAAAAATAAAAAAAAAATAAAATATATTTGTTTACTTTATTTAGACCTTAATACGTAAGTTTATCATTTGCACCACCTGCCATTGTCGAAAATATTACACTTTTGGTCACAAGGTTGTCCTGGAAGAGATTGCTTTTTAGCAATAAGACTGCCTCATTGTTTCTACCTCATAAGTTCTTTTTGTAACATTTCTTTTATATTTTTATGGTGTTCAGTAAAGCATATAATAATAATATAATTTCTGTCCCTCTCACCCTAAACCCCAACCGTTTGGTTCCCCTGCTGAGGGGTTCCAACTGGTTGGGTCCTATTTATGTATGTATTACATAGAGAATATATATATCTATATGTTTATTTTTATTTATAAACCCAACAAATAAATATCCCCAATAATAATAGTGGTCCGCTTTACAGCTGGCTGAGCACCTGCAGTCCTGGACCCCCCCGTTCCAGCTCTCCGCTGAAGAGCTGGATGGCTGTTCCTACTTCGTGCAGATGAACCTCACAGCGACCAGGAAACAATACATGCCCGTTGTATCAGAGTTCCTGAGGACCTACCAGTGATATTGTTTCTTATTTATTTCATTTGTCCGTCCACCGCAGTGGAGGTTGTAATTAGGTATCTAGTTTGTGTACTTTCGGGACTCAAAAATTCTGTGCATGCCAATGGAAGTTATCAATTTGGTTTATAAAGAAACAATCATTCAAGGTCGACAAAAACCATATCCCAAAATCACCGAAAACGCGTTGGCACAATCAAAATGTTATTTATTATTGTATTTACAAAGAATCTGATGAAATTTTGCTTTGACATTTGATATTTATAGATGTCACCTGTTCTCTACAGATTTGATTTGGATTGCCACAAATTGTGCAGTCGAATTGGCTTAGTTCTGGGCCGGAAAGATTTAATTTGTCATTAACACTTAAAGAAGGAAAATTTATAGAAGTTTTCTATTACTCTTTTCTTGTTAATTCAATTCAATCATCTGTAGGCAGACGCCTATTATAGTTTTGTACACAGGGAGATTTTTTGAGAAGTGCCCAAATTTACACAGGAGGTTCAGACTCGGTAGTATAATCGTTTATTGAAATAAAAAACAAAGTTTTTTTTCCAAAAAAAAATGCCATTCCATTCTCTAAATAACAGATCGTGTTGACAATGCGGTAGTCATTCATAAATACCTAAATTTTACTGTTGCACGAACTTGTGTGCGCGTTAGTTATGAATGATCGCGCGTAAAAAAAATGAGTTGCGTATAAATCACGCACTTTTTGAGATAAGTTCAAATTAATGAAATTAATTACTTACGTGTGATTTTGAATATTTATCATTTTTATATAACATTATTTATGTCTAGAATTTAATAAAAAAAGGACACGGTTTGAAAAGCCACCATGTATAAGACAACGCCTATTTGCCTAACGTTAAAATAAAAACTAATACGTAATAAAATAAAATAATTACATGTGATAATCGTTTTGCAGGAACATCACCCCCCTCAAAAAATATTTTAAAGTTATCTCCAATCACTAAGATATTGAAATGACTGTTTGTTTCTTATATGTAAACGAAATTTGGATTTTTCTGATTTTTGGTAGCAAATTCAATAAATGTAAATATTTTAGCGAATACATTAATTTTTTAGAATTTTCAAGGAAAAGTGTAAATCTTAACTAAATAATTATGTAACAATAATTATTTGTATTAGATAAGAAACAATATCTGTGAACGGAATAAATATTTATTTATGGACCACATTGATCCAAGCATAATTATTGTCATGGTATATAGTTTTTTTTCATAATTTTACTTAAATAATTTATTGTATTTTGGCTTAAATTGTCTGAGATTTTTTTAATTTTCATTTTCTGGCAAAAAGATAAATTGTGTGCTTACCTGCAATTTTTTTTCAAAGAAAACAAACTACGCCTATATTTCAGGTTTGTTTAATGAAACAACTTAAAAACTTAAAAATAAAACAAAACGTTTTTAAACCACATGATTTATTTAGTGAACATTTATACATATGAAACATCAGATCTCTCAATCATCACTCGCATTTCTATATGAGGAAGAAGAGTCTAGAATGTTTTCCAAGTTTCCACAGAATCTTTGCATGTTTAAACATTTTTTAGTAAACTCACTATAATATTAATACATTACTTAAGTTCGTTTTTACAATTGTAAAGAAACAACTGTTGTGCAATCAACAATAACAATTAAAATAATATTATTGACTGTAACATAGTATGTTTTCTTCTATTTATTATCTATTTATGTTCTCTATCTTTGCCCCTGCTGACAAAGACCTCATCAGTTCAGCCGCTAACATACTAACATAATCAAATGAACTTATTATCTAAACTGTAAGATCAAAACTCTTCACGAAATAAATTAAGAAGTAACCTTAACAAATAAAGAGTATTGTCTTTTCATTAATAATAATTAAAGAGAAACTAAAATTATTAATTTGTTCAACGCTATTGGAAAGGAAAGTTTTACGTTAACTACCAGTATTTTTCTATTACAAAAATAGCAAATTTATAAATGTACATGATCATGAACACAGTGATGTTTATTTGAGATTGCAGCAGACTGATTGTGCTGACAACCCTTAGAACTAACTACTCGAAAAATTTTATCGAAATAATCTAGAAATAAAACGATAATATATAATCTGTCCCATATATCTAAATATATAAAGTTAAGGCACTGAGGAATGGAAGAACAATTATTCATACAACTTTGTTTCTGAAACAATTTGGCTTTTGCAAATCTTTTAATTGTTGCATACAAGTATTTAACAACAAATTTCTTAAACGAGACTATATCTCTTTCATCCAAAATGTTTTCAAACATATATTATTGTAGACCATACCTAACAAATGTTGTTGAAGCGTCAAAATTTATAAGTGTGTAAATCAAGAAAATATTATGTAAGAAAATTTGTTCCCAATTTATATAAAATGTTTTTGTAGAAAAAACTTTCTTTTGTAATCTTACAATAGAGTCTATATTATGATGGTTTGTTCTTTTTTATGACTTAATGCACACACGGAGACTTCGATTAGCTCTTAAATCAGTACTGGAATATATAAAATACTAAAAATACTATAGTGTATACTATAGTATTTTTAGTATTTTTAGTGTTGATATTGTTCAAATTGGAAGGTTTATTACTTTAAGTACACTTTTAGCCTGGAACGAAGAACCATCTATCGCCTTATCTAAGTCACATTCCTTTGGACGGCAAAAAACTAAAACTTACTATTATTTTGCATATACTCTAGAATGCTGTAGCGAAGCATATCCCAAACTTATTGCTCAATATTTATATTGCAAAGTAATAATTTGATTTTGAACTCGAGTAAAGATTATTTAGATGAAATTTTAGTATTATTAAGAAAGGCACTATTAGCAAACAAGAAAATTAAATTGAATAGTTAGTTGGCAGCGTTATTTTGGAATAACGCTGTCTATAAAACACATATCTGCTACAGCTGTTGATCATAAATATGTATACATACTCTTAAAATGATGAATGCTTTATCTTATATGTAACAGGTCATCATTAGGCGTAAAAATAGAAGTGTAATACTTTTTTACGTGAGTGAGGTAGCCGGGGCCCACTTTTCAAAAGTTGGCAATGCATCTGCAGCCGTTTTCAGTCCATAAGTGGGAGTAATCACTTAAGACCAGCATAGCCACCCGTACACTGATATTTATCAAGCGTATATAAAACATTTAGAGACTTTGTAGGTCAGTTTGGGAAACGCTGCTATGCACATTACTCGGGATCTGTCCTGTTTCTGGAATTTTCTTGTTCCGGGATGTCCTTTTGGATGAGTTGATCCTGATGGGGTTATTTCTAGTCTGAGATTACATCTGCTGGCGGAACATTGCGGTTATCTCCTCCACTGTCCTGTTTTTGGTCTCCGGCACCTTCATGCTGATGAAGACTATGAACAGGAACTGCAGGACTGCGAATATTATGAAGGTGTTCATGCCGAGGACCAACTGGAAGGAGAAGTGATACATAATTTAGAATAGAATATACTATAATTTAGAGAAGTAATAATGGGCAGGCCCGACTGGGGGAGTATCACAACCTCACAGAAGAGTGAGGTAAATGGGGGCCACTTTTTTTTTTTCTCTTTTTAAATGAATGAATATTTTCAGTGAGGTGTAATGGGCCCACTTGTATTTTTTGTTTGAAAGGTGGTCACGTATTTGCAACCTTACCCGTGATGCAAATGTCCGCATGCTCGTTTAAAAAAAAACTAACTAACCGCTTTGAAAGCATAGATCACGTCGGTTAAGTTAAGGGTACTTCATTTTTTATTCATAGTACCTGGAGGTTTTTTTTTGGTAAATCGTGTATTTTGGAAATTACAAATTACTGAGTGATGAAATATGCATAAATTTTTTTCGATCTTACCGACGTAATAATAAGAAAATATGAACTGGTATTTTTCACAAAAGAAAGAACCTTAAAAAAAGGAAGAAAAAGTAACAAAAACATCTGGATCTACAAAAATTAAAAAGTAAAGACAGCAATGATCTGGAATCGAAAAAAAGTTTAAAAAAAAAATAAGTGTGTAAATGATCGTGATACGAACCGCGTCCATCTGTTTCAGGACCGCCCGATTACCGACCGCGCTATTATAACATTATTTTTGGTGAAATTTACCGTCATATTCGAATGATATTTTACATTCCCTGAAAACTGGGATTAAACGAAATTTTCTAAAAATGAAACCTAGCCAGATCGATTTTTCGCCCCTGAATCTACGCACATACTTTTCATGAAAATCGCTGGAAATATATATATATATATATCGAAATCGAAATCGTTTCCGAGATTCCGATATATAGTTATAAGATTTTGTAATTATTTACAATTCCTATAAGACGACGCGATTGGGGTGGCGAGGCCTGCCTATTGCGCCTGAGGGTGTGGGTTCGGCCCCCACTACTGAAAAAATATTGTGTGATGAACATAGTGTTTTTCTAGTGTATTAGTGTATATTACGTATTTATTTACAAAAGAAAAGTATATTTAAGTATGTCTATCAGTTATCCAGTACCCATAGTACAAGCGTTGCTTAGTTTGGGACTAGAGAATGTTGTGTGAAAATGTGTCCGAAAATATTTAAAAAAAAAAACTTATAATTTTTTGACTTTGCAAACCTCCATTTGTAAGCGTTGAAAATAATGTAGTTTGATTTCCTTTCTCAATTGCTGTAAATCAAGTAAGAAATTTATAGTACAAAAAGGATGAGAAGCATATTGAGAAACAACAGTTTGTGTGTGTGTGAAGTTTTTTTTAGTATGACTTATACAGCGCCTACATTAGGTAGACTTGGATCTAGAAGAATCTGAATGGCTGACTCATTCGGGGAAATACAGCGTCCACGCAAAATATGTGTATGGTGGATGCTATACTTATATTTCGTCTGGTGAGGTAGCATGGCCTGTCCCCTTAGAGCACAACTCCATAGGTCTTGCGACTTTATTCAGCGATAATTTTAGGAAAAATTCAGATGGCGCTGCGATCGACGTGAGGCGTCCTAAGCACGCAGTCATTTATCCATGTTTAATATTTATATTGTTTTCGGATATATTCGGCGTCTCGACAATCTGTGGCTCGAGGCGTCATGGCTTCATAATAGTTAACGTCGATTTTGAGAGGCGAATATTATTTTTTTGTGAGAAGGCACCAAACTAGCGCCTTTTAATAGAGTTGGCCCCGGCTACCTCACTCACCAGACGAAACGCGAAAGTATTTGTCATACTTCCACTTTACGCTGGTCTTCTGTGAGGTCGGGCGAAACGCGAAAGTATTATACTTCCTGTCAAAGTTAATATCACTTAGCCACTTTGCCACCCCCTCTCTCGGGTTTAATTCGGCGCGGGAGTCGAACCTACGGCCCGCTACTCACAGTAAGCGGCAGGAAGCTGAGGCCGACTATGAAGTTGGCCGTCCAGTTGACGGTGACCGCCACAGAGGACGCCACCGGCCGCGCCGCCTGGTTGAACAGCTCTGGAAGGATGGAGGAGTCTCAGATGGCTCGGTGGCCGAGTTATATACAGCGTGTCGTTACATCCGTACCGTTAAACAAAATTCATAATAAAAAAAAAAATATTTTTCAAACAAACTAATTAAGTAAAAAAGAAAAAAAATTGTAACATCCTATACAACTCGCGCCACAGCGTCGTATTACAAGCCTCTCCTTCTAACAGTATGTTTTGTCTCTTTTAAATTCATTCAACCCATTCATATGCTGTGACCTTTACAAATGAACTTTACGTTACGCTTTTATAGGTAAGGGTGTTCTAAAATCCTTTGTTTTGGAAAATTTAATAAGTCTGTAAATATTGATGTTTAAAGAATTTAAATATTTAATACAACTTTAAAAAGTTATCCCCTATATGTGTGTTCATTTATTGTCGCGATGGTAACGACACTCTGTACATAGAGGCTTGGGGTTGGGGTCGTGGGTTCGATGACCGCACGGGACAACTATTTTCTTTTTGCAGTTATTTAATTTAACCCTTTTATTTTAAACCTTGTCAGCGTTTTAACTGTAATTACTAAATCTCATTATTGTTAACAAATTATTATGCACGGTGTGGTTACCTATAAATTGTAAGAACAGTTTTTCATTTAGGCTTACCAACCAAACACAAACAGAACATTATTAATAAACGTTTACAGTTGCCAACAGAATTATAATATACTGGGAGGGTTTTTTTAATTGTATTCTTTTTTTTTATTAAATTCTAGACGTAAATAATGTTAATAAAAAATGATAAATATTTAAAATTAATTACATTCATTTGAAATTATCTCAAAACGTGCGTGATTTACGGGCAACTCATTTATGTTACAGGCGATCATTCATAACTAATACGCACACAAGTTCGTTCCTAAAGTATACGACGCCTTTGTTTTTTAGGAAATAGAATGGCAATTTTTTTGAAAAAGAAAAAGTTTTCGTTTTATTTCAATAAACGATTATACTACCGAGTCTGAACCTCCTATTTGAATTTGGGTACCTTTTGAAAAGCCACCCTGTATGTATTTAACTTAAAGGTATACACAAAATTGCCATATCAGACTTAAAATTAACAAATAATGAAATACAGTTAGATATAGATCTAAGGCTTGTATAATTTAGACTGTTATTAGCGACTGTAACTTGCATTGGTAATCCAATAAAAAAAAAAAAGAATTTAGTGCCATTCTCTGCATTCTAAATGAACTGTTGTATCGCGTTAATTTGAGGTGATTTTGGGATCTTGGGGACGTTTCGTTGACAGGGTTTCGTGAGGGCTTAGGGGGGTATTGGTAACTAACTCAAAAACTTGTGTATTTTTATCTAAAATTCGACGATTCATAAGAACGGGAAGCGTCTATTTGAATAAAGATATTTTGAACTGGCTTTTCGCCCGCGGCTTCGCTCGCGTTGAAGCCCCTAAATAAATATCTTTCAACACTTTACAACACTTTTTTCCGATAAGAAATAGCCTATAGCCTATGGCCTCTCTCGGGCTCTAGACTATCTGTGTACAAATTCCATTTAAATCGGTTCCGTAGTTTTGGCGTGAAAGCGAGACAGACAGACAGGGTCACTTTCGCATTTATATTATAACGGAACCTAGGAAGTTGTGAACTTACAAAATCGGACGATTGATAAGAAAGCGGAAACGTCTATTTGAATGGACATATACTGAATTGTTCCGAAGGCTTCGTATTCTCTTACCGGTTACGAGGAACCACGGGATCGAACCCGGGCCCACGGCGAACGTCACCACGAACAGGATCACCAGCGCGATGCAGAGGTACGACATCCAAACGTGCTCCGTCTGCCGAAATGTTTAATAAAAGTTATCTTATTTATTTATTATTATTTTTTTTATGCCAAAAGTTGCCAAACGAGCAGACGGGTCACCTGATATTAAGTGAATACCGCCGCCCATGGACATCTGCTACACCCGAGGGTTCCAGATGCGTTGACAACCTTTTGAAAATTGGGCTCCGGCTACCTCACTCACCAGACGAAACGCGAAAGTATTTGTCATACTTCTCCACTTTACGCTGGTCTTCTGTGAGGTCGTGGTACTTACTCGGACGGGCCTGCCCATTCGTGCAACGGCCGAGGCTGCTGCGTGACCTTACCACCATTTATTTATTCATTTATTCTTTATTGAAAACACCTCAAAGGGGTTACAAAAGGCGGACTTAATGCCTATTGTCATTCTCTACCAGTCAACCCGGGGCGTGGGGAGGGATCGTGGTAGGTGCAATAAATAAAATTGCATAATAAATTTATGTGTCTTAAATAATAATATATAAATTACAACTATTTTATTAAACGGTCTTTCAGTAAACAGTAGACATAGTAGTAATTTATTAAACAGTCTTGGTAACATTTCACTGAACTGTCCACATAGTTACTAAAAGGTAGCTCTAAAACACTTGGTAACTTTTCACCAAAGTTAGTCATTTATTACACAATCTTGGTAACATTTAACTAAACCGTCGACATAGTTACCAAAAGGTAACTTTTCACCGAAATACACGTATAGGCAATACACGAAGTGTTTCAAATTGAATTCCCGTGACTTTGAGGTATTAACGTGTGTTAGAAGCCAATGACGTATGGATACTTGTTGAAAAAAAAAATATTTTTAATACAAAAAAAATTCGATGAAAAGCTTTCGCACCTTTAGAATTAAAGGGACCTAATTATGAAAGTCATGATTTTGGCTTCATGTCAGGAAACGACCTAAAACGACCACCTTTTTCGAATCCTATTAAAACATGGGCCGATTTTAGAAAGGTACATAACGTACACTTCTGTCTCTGTCACTTCCCCCCAATTAGCGCGTTTGTACATAAGTTCCACAAATCCTTATTTTAAGTTTCCCAAGAATTGATATTTTTAAATAGGTCACTACAATTCTAAAGGTGCGCTTTCTACTATCTTGTACTTGAGATCCATCAACCTGAAATTTGAAAAGGTCGCGTATTCGATTTGGTTGCAAAAAAAACACTTTCAAACTTATTGGATCGCCGAGTGCAGTAAGTTATACAAATTTTCTACCGCAAATTAATCTTATAATTAAGTATCACTATCACTCCTCCGTTGTTGAAGTCGGTTTTTTTTTTTTTTTTTTTTTTTTTTTTTTTTTTCAACAAAGTAACTCTACTCTACAGACTCGTGGTCCGTACTCTTTTTTTGGTTAACATGTTTTTTTTTTTTTTTTTAATTTTCCCTTTGGGTGTTGAAGTCGGCTGAAGAGTACTCACGTATAAGCTGGCGACGCAGAGGCACACCGTGCAGACCAGCATTCCGCCGAAGCCGGCGAGGAGTAGGGTCTTCCTCCCCGCCACCTCCACCAGCAGCAGGCTGACCACCGTCATCACCACGTTCATCGCGCCCATTCCTGCGAACGGGCTCCGTTGAATCGCCCTCCGTTGCGACAGGGCCGGATTTAGGGGGCAACCGGGGCTACGGTCCTGCCTCCACAAAGGGGCCTCCATAATGGAGACTTCGGAAAAAAATTCAAATGCCGACTAGTAAACAATTTTTAATTTTAGATAACTCTTGTTTCCGATTATATTTAGGTATATGTTCGTTAAATTATATAAAAATAATCTGTACCTACTTGGTTTCACAATAAAATATTTATTGAAAAATTCGACTAAAAAAAATTGTTAATTTTATTTGGAAAATAATTTGGGACCAAGGGGCCTGGGGACCAGTGGGGGCCACTTCTTTGTTGGTCCGAGGCCTCCAGACCTCTAAATCTGACCCTGCGTTTCCATTTCACTCGCCTCTTGGAGGCGTGTTAATGAAAATAGTTGGGGCTAGTTCCTGATGATATGATTTCTTAAAGGAGTTTTTTAAGTGACGGCCTATACAAGACAGCCTAGCAAAGGCAAGCAACTTCACGTATAATCGAAATATTTTTTAGGATATATTTTCTGTGTTTTGTCACCATTCCGAAAGTATGCGGGTTTCCTCGCGTTGTTTTCCTTCGCCGCTGAGCACGTGATAGTTAATCACTTAAAACTAACAATTTCCGGTTGGTGCCGACACCGGGACTTAACTCGGGTTGTTCGAGTATAATGAATCCAAACCGAGCGCCCGGGGACTTAGCTACGTGACAGCTAAGTGCCCGGACGCTCGATTTTGATTCATTATTAGTTTTGGTACAAATTGTGAATATGTTTCTAATGTCTGTGTTGCCCTTTTTTTTGTCTGTGCTCGTAGAAAGAAATTAAAATATTATCATCTATCTATCTACTATCTATACAGGGAGGCTTTTCTAAGTGTATCCATTTTTTTTTATTAAATTCTAGATATAAATAATGTTATTATTTATAATGTTTTTGTATAACATTATTTATGTCTAGAATTTAATCATAAACATATATGTAAGACATTTCCACCGATAATTGACTCATCGATATCTCTGGAACCATAAGGCGTAGAGACTTGAAATTTGGTAGGAATATTCCTTTGGCCGAGTAGCGGTCAGCGATGAATTTACGAAACTCCACAAAACAACGTTTGCCTGATCAGCTAGGATTGAATAAAACTTAAAGAAGGCGTTGTAATGGGAGTCATAAAACCAGGAGAGGTTGATGTATGCCCTTATTCTACGATAGGTTAATGTCAATCGATTTAAATTGGAGCTTCTCGCTTGTGTTTGCCCGTTTGTGGTGATACATTTTTTAGATGTCTTACGTTATTTGTAGGTTTTTAGTCTTACTTAATAACGATTTATCGTGTTATTACTACACATTGTTAAACGAAACTGTGGTAGGGCCCCGCTTTTCGGCTATTGCACGAATGGGCAGTTCGGGGAGGTCATGAAAAGGTGGGCGGCGGTTATAACTAAACATCAGGTGAACCGCCAGCGTTTTTGGAAAATTTTCGCAAAAAAAAAAATATCATGAATTGTTTTCCGGTGGTGGGGCCACGCAGCAGCCTCGGCTGTTGCACGAATGGGCAGGTCCGTCCGGATAAGTACCACGACCTCACAGAAGACCGGCGTAAAGTGGAAGTATGACAAATACTTTCGCGTTTCGTCTGGTGAGTGAGGTGGCCGGAGCCAAATTTTCGAAACGTTGTCAACGCACCTGCAACCCTCGGGTGTGCCAGATGTCCATGCTGGGCGGTATTCACTTAACATCAGGTGAACCGTCTCGTTTGACAACTTTTTTATAGAAAAAAATTGTTAATAGAAAGTGCTATAATACGCCTGTCCGTTTGTGACCGCTTCTAACCGAGGGTGGCGTACTGCGACTGGCCCTCGCTGAGGTTCGCGCCCCTGAAGATGTCCGTGGAGAAGAAGATCACCGCGTTGATGCCGGACAGCTGCTGCGCCACCATCACCACCAGCGCGATGGCGAGCGGCCGGCGAAGCTGCCGGTTGCCCACCAGCTCGCGGAGCGTCACCCTCTTCGAGACCTTGTTCTTCTCCGCCTCCTGGGGTGCCAATGATGGGTGATTGCGGTGGGAGTGGTGCGACGCTGTATTCCCCCACTCCTGGGGTGTTGCCATGCCAATGATGGGTGATTGCGATGCGAGTGACGTATTCCCCCACTCCTTGTGTGTTGCCAATTATGGATGATTGCGATGCGAGTGTTGTAGATAGGGATGCCCCCCCCCCCCCCCCCCCCCCCGCACAGTAGGATATCATCATCCTGTGTTGTAAGGTTCGTGTGGAAGAGGTTGGATAGTAATTCTGATAACATATGTAATTTAGTTAGATCTTCGCCCGGTTTTTGAAACACTGATGATCGTAAAAGTTAACTAATCAACTGTCATATGGCTTTTCAAATGTCATTTGGGTTGCTAAATGGATGGTTAAACTCTATGAATTAATCAGAATGATTTTCTTAATGGTCGGAATAATCAATTCAGAGAGTTTAACCATCCTTACATTTATGTATACATTTGATTATGCATTCTGAGCAATGCTTGTGAGTCTGAGTTTACTTAAAAAATTAATAAGTATTTTCCGTTTAATAGCCCACCTGATGCATTTCCTCCATCTCGCCGTGGACAGCAACGTCTCCCCTTAACCAGTTCAAGGCTGTTGAAGATATAATCATAAGAATTTATAAGAAAACCATTGCCTTTACCGTATGATAACCTTACCCTGTGTTTATTAAGAAATTTTATTAATGAAATGTTAGTCAATTATTTTAACTATTTATAAAAAGCTGTGTGCGTGTGTGTGTGTGTGTGTGTGTGTGTGTGTGTGTGTGTGTGTGTGTGTGTGTGTGTGTGTGTGTGTGTGTGTGTGTGTGTGCGTGCGGGCGTGTGTGTGTGTGAGTGACTTTGTGTAGGAGAGAAAATGAGTATTACAGTCTGTCTGTCCCTATGGTCGGTCTCTGCCCGGACGGAAAGGTCCTCTGTGCTTATTGCGGAATTCGGTTGATAATTCAAACTAACGGTTTTACAGTTTGTGATATTAGGGAGTCGATTGCTCCGTTCCTAATTTCGATTATAATTTGGTTAGATTTGATTGCTGAACTGCGATTAGTGTTAATTCAATTAAACGTAAAGTGTTTGTTTTTGATTGTATCATTTTTTTTATCCCCATGTAATTTTCAGTGTACTATAGTACCCAATGGCTTTATCGGAACTAACCGGTATTTTTGGTTAAAAAGACATTAATACAAAAGTTGTCATTGGTTGCCGCGACAATACCGTGATGTGGTGTATTGGTCTCTTTGCAACCAACTGCTCCACTTACTCCTAAAGATGTTGGCTGCACTCTTCATAAGACGATCTTCATAATAAGTGTACTGGTGGCCGCGTCACTCACCCCGCTGCGCGTGCAACTCCTGGCCCCTGTTCAGCAGCAGGTACTTCGGCGACTCGGGGCAGAGCGGCAACGTCGCGCACTGGACGAGGGCCGGCAACGCCGCGGCCGCCAGCAGCCACGGCCAGCCGCGCTCCGTCCCCAGCACGGAGCCCAGCCCGAGCACTTGCGAGAGCAGGATGGTGATAGTTATCACCAGCTGGTACACGGTGCCGATCTGCGGGCGGAGATTTTCATGTCATGGCTGTCTTAATAATTTGTCCTGTGTTTTATCTGATAAGTTTTCATAAGAGCAGGTCATCTGATGTTTAGTGATTATAATCAGGTACTTTCCCAGATGATCCTGCCCATACGTGCAACAGTAACTGCCACATGACACTACCACAGTTGCGTCTTATATTTACTTTTTTTATGTGTAAGAAAGTGGCTAACAGCTGGCGGTTCACCTGATGTTAAGTGATAAACGCCGCCCTTGGACATTTGCAACACTCGTAGGGTTGCAAATGCATTGCCACCTTTAAATAAATTGGCTCCCGGCTACCTTACTCACCAGACGAAAAGCAGAAGTGTAACACTTCTATTTTACACCGGTCTTCTGTGAGGTCATGGTACCTACCCAAATAATTATTTATTTTAAATAGTGTATGGTTTACGAAATTAAATATTAAACGTATTACATAACTTAGTTATGACTTAAAAATATTAAGTCCTGTGGCTTAACTTAATTATAACTTGTAACTTACCGAGCCGCGCATTGAGACTGGCGATATTTCAGCCAGATATAGCGGCGCCAAGCCAGCGTTTAGGCCGCTGTTTATGCCAATAAGCAATCTGGAAGACAATACGATTATGCCAATTACTTTTTTTACTGACGAGCCGTAATAGCTCATTGTCCGGGTGCTCGTTTTATAGGGTTCCGTACCCAAAGGGTGAAACGGGACCCTATTATTAAAAATCCGCTGTCTGTCTGTCCGTCTGTCACTAGGCTGTATCTCATGAACCGTGATAGTTAGTTGAAATTTTCACAGATTCTGTTAAAAATACAATAAAAATAAAAATACTAAAAAACAGAATAAAAAATATTTCGGTGGGGGAGCCCCCACTGATACTGTACTGTACATGACTTTTTTGCCGATTTTATGGAGAATATAATAATATATAATAGTACGGAAATTTGAAAGTCAGCGCAAAAAAATTTCATTCGGTGTACCACAGGGATCTATTTTAGGGCCATTACTATTTCTTATATACGTAAATGATATTAATTCAATAGGTATTACGGGGCATATAACACTTTATGCAGATAACACCAGTATTTTTCATTACGGTAATTCCATAAGATCTGTTATCAATGAAGCCCAACGCGATCTTGACAATTTTGAGTTATGGCTACAAAACAACTTACTAACACTTAATAACAATAAAACATCGTACATGATTTTTACTGCTAGAAATAAAAAATCGCTGAGCATGTACCACTTACCATAGCGAATCAACCGATAGCAATTACCGATGAAGAAAAGTATTTGGGTTTAATAATGGACAGTAAATTAACATGGAAGAGCCATATAGATAAAATACGCTCTAAATTGACACCATTGATTGTATCTTTAAGAAAAATAGCTAAATATTTTCCGTATCCCGTTAAAAAACTTATATACATCTCGCTCATTAAACCACACCTAGAATACCTAATACAAGTTTGGGGAAGTTCGGCAATGACAAACTTAAATACACTACAGCGAACACAAAATAAAATAGTAAAGATTCTTTTTAACTACCATTATCTAACATCAACAGACATAATTTACAAAAATATTATAACAAAAATATTATAACAAAAATATTATATCGATAAATTATATACATACAGTACATGTCTTTTTGTAAATAATAATAACTTTTAAAATCAGTACACTCACTTATAAATTTTCCTAAAAGATCACATCGATATTTAACCTTAAATAGACATAACCTTAATTGAATTACCAACATGTAGAACTGATGTAGGAAAAAAAAATATTCGATTTGTGGGAGCGCAACTTTACAACAAACTGCCTGAGGAAATTAAAAGATGTAAAACCATTGCATTGTTCAAAAAACGCCTGTTAAACAAATTACTATCTGCTTAGATTTATAAGCTCTGTTATCCGTCTGAGACTGTTGTTTGTGTCATACATATATTTAAGACTTATTCTATATGTTTATCACGTTTTAAGTGAACTATGTAATGTTCTTTTTGTGATAAATCAATGTCTTTAACCTGAACCCTTCGTGTGCGATTCTGACCCACACTATGGGGAATTTTTTCTCTACAAATTTTCATAAAATACTTCATATCGCTTGCTTGTAAACTACTTTTGTAAGTGGTCCAAACTTCCACACAACTTCTGACACTGTCCTTTCGTGATGATGACCTCGAACGGCGAGTATATCAATGCAATACTTTCGATGTTTCCAATAAACGCAAAAATATTCGGGTCAAGACAATAAAGAAAATGAAAAGTACGAGATTCGTATTGCGCTACACGCGCCCAATGTTTAAGGTTACATTTATAAATAGACTTTGTATTGAGTAAACAGAAAGATACTTTTAAGTTTTAAGGACGCAAAACTTTTACACCATCAAAGCTTTTAGGTTTCCGTACCCAAACGTTAAAACGGGACCCTCAGACTCCGCTGTCTGTCTGTCACAACGCTGTATCTCATGAATCGTGATAGACAGTTGAAAATTTCACAGATTTTTATTTCTGTTGCCGCTATAACAAAAAATACTAAAATAAAGAATTTTTTTTTTGTTTTAAGTCTCGTAGAAAAGTCAAAATTTTTTTCATAGATAAAACTTGAACGGTTTTTTATAAATAGCTATGAAATAAGTTGTGTTTATTATAAATTTTTCGAAGTTATACACACCTCTTTTGGCGCGTTCGGACAAAATTAAGGGAGCAAAATTTTTACGAATCGCGTTCACACGGACACCGATTTGAATTTAATTGAAAAACGACCAACATCGCGGCATCATCATAGCAACCAATAATTTTTTTTTGACATCTCTATCTCTATATATAAAAATGAATCGCTGAATGTGTTGCTAAGCGCATATCTCGAGAACAACTGAACCAATTTCGCTAATTCTTTTTTTTATAATATTCCTTGAAGTGCGAGGATGGATAAAAATTGCCTGATAATATCTAAAAATAACACTTTTGTATATTCCCATACAAAAGATTCGTAATAATACTTAAAAGTCAATTTGAACTTTAATACAATAAAGTTTAAATGTTAGTGGAAAGAGTGATTCAAGAGGAAGGTTTATATGTATAATACATTGCACCCGTGCGATGCCGGGGCGGGTCGCTAGTTTACCTATAACTCCTAGCTATTTAATTAAGCCCTTATCAATTGCATTTGTGAAGTCAGGATAGATAGCTCAGTGTCCGGGCGCTCGCCTTTGATTCAATACACTCGAGCAACCTGAGTTCGATCCCCGGTGGCGGCACCGATGAAATTGTTAATTTTTAAGTGCTGACTTATCACGTGCTCAGCGGTGAAGGAAAATTTGAATGTTTTCGAAATAATAACGAAAAAATTATTTCGAAGATACATGAAGTCCGCCAATCCTGAGAAGGGCCGCGTGATGGACTATGCCCTAATACAGAGGCCCAGCCTTTGCCCAGCTGTGGGACAATATAGGTTCTTACTTTACTTTTATATAAAAATAGAGACCCGGCCTTCCTCTTGAATCATTCTATCTAGTAAAAAACTGCATCAAGATCCGTTGCGTAGTTTTAAAGATCTAAGCATAATATATAAGGACAGATAGACGGCGGGACGGCTTTGTTTTCTACTATGTAGTGATTAACTTGGTCTTCTCGAAATGGAACCTACCTGCCCAGGATCAGCATTTCAGCGGAGTTGGCCACCTTGGAGCCGCCCTCTAAAGCCGCCGCAAGGAAGACCAGCGCGTTGTTCAGAAGAAGACCACCCTTCCTGCCGAACCTGTTAGAGTCTACTGGGTCAGGTCTCGACTGACGAAGAACTGTCTCGTCGCGATCATGCGTGAGATTTTTTAGACGAAGTACATAGTTTGATATAATTTTAATTGATCATTCCATAACTAAAAAAAAATATTAATAAGCGGTATACTACTTATGCGTTCAGCGAACAGTTTTAGTGAATAGGTTATTGTATTGAGACAGTAAGGCAGAAATTTCTAATAGAATCAAATTCAGCATATGCTCTTCATCTGATGATTCAGGTCATCTGATGTTTAGTGATTATCATCAGGTACTTTCCGGGATGATCCTGCCCATACGTGCAACAGTAACTGCTACATGACCCTACCACAGTTATGTCTTATATTTACTTTTTTTATGAAATAGTCGCAAAGGAGCTGCCGCTTCCCCTGATGTTACGTGATAATCGCATCTGCAACACCAGTAGGGTTGCAAATGTGTTGCCACCTTTAAATAAAGTGGGCCCCGGCTACCCCACTCACCACACGAAACGCAGAAGTGTAATACTCCTACTTTACGCTGGTCATCTGTGAGGTCGTCGTACTTTTCCGGACGGACCTGCCTATTCGTGCAACAGTGAAGATTGTTGCGTGGCCCTACTTGTCTTGAGCAGTACTATGGTAGACCGAAGAATTGTTGGCAACCCTACGAGTCTCACCTGTCAGCCACAAAGCCTGTAAGCACGCCGCCTATCATGCCGCCCACGCAGTATATGGCGACGGTGATTGACCACACGGTGGTGACCTTCGGGTCGTCCTTCGCGTCCAGGGTCGTGTTGGTGCCGGTGAGCGCCTCCTTGTGAAGCCACTCCATCATCACCTGAAAGCGCATACTGACTGCACTGCGGTGGCACAGCCGTTAAGCCTACGGATTCGGTCGGAGACACAGCTGTTTGTGTTGCCCCCACGGATGGCTGCTCGGAACCTGGGTGTTTGTCACCAAGGAACCCTCCGGGCTCGCGCCTTGCCGTGGCGACAGGCCTTAGTAGCCGTGGCTTGCTCACCCACGGCGAGGCTAAGAGGAACCCACAATAGGCCGGCCTGTGTTTCAGGCTCGCCTCAAAACGGCCGTTGCGAGGGGGATTATTGAGCCAACTCTAGATGCATGCTGTAGGGTGCAGGTAACAGGTCGAGGGTGCTAGAGGTGGAGCCACTCTCCGTGTCTTCGGCTACCGAAGAGGAGTCGAGGGAGATGAGGAGTTTCGGTATTGCGTTTGCCCGCGCTCCCTATCCTCCGCTCGTTGTGGAGCCGCGGGGGGAGACGAATGTCGGTATTGTGTTGAGCCGTTCTCTTTACTTTGTTTACGTGGGGTAAATGCCTACGCATACCCACCCGCCCTCGCGGGGGAAAGAGCAGGTTATGTCAGACTCGCACCGACTATAACCACCATGTTCCACCTAGGCGCATATCGACTGGGCCAGGGCGCTGAGCGCCTCAGCGGCCCCCTCCGGGGGAGCAAGTCCCCTCTCCTCCAGGTAAGGCGCTGGAACATTCAGCGCGCCTTCCTACTCGGCCCTTTATCACGGCCAACCAACTCCCCCGAGTTCGCCGACCAGAGGCCATGGGAGCCTGCAGAGTTAGTGAAAAAATAAAACGCAAAGCCTAGTAAACAAAAAGCCTCCCAGCTCCCAGCGGCGGACCTGGTCTGTGGCTCCACCGCTCACAACGTTTCGGCCGTGGAGGCATTTGCAACACCCGTAGGTTTGCAGATGCGTTGCCACCTTTTAATGTAGTGTTCCCCAGCTACCGCACTCACCAGATGAACTGCAGGAGTGTAACACTTCAAGAATTGGAATTATTTCACTTTCGCGTTTCGCCTGCTGATTGAGGTATTCGGGCCCCACTATTTTTACGTTCGGCAACCCGTCAGGAGTTGTTGATGCCCATGGGCGGCGGCAATCGCTTAACATCAGTCAACCTGCCCGCTTATCAACTCTTCACATACGGAAAGTTACTGCCAAGTACGACGTGGGACTCGCGCTCGAAGGGTTCCGTACGAATATCAATAAAAACAGCAAAAAAAAATCATGTCTGTTGAAAAATGATAGAGAACTCACTGATTGCGGCGCGTTGATAACACCAGTGTTGTATCCGTGCTGGAACGCGGACCAACACGCCGAGGAGAGCACGGCGAATGCCAGTCTCACATTCATTCCCTGAAAGTTTTTTTTAAATATTTTAGGACACACTTTTACACAACGTTCTCTAGTCCCAAACTAAGCAACGCTTGTAGTATGGATACGTACTGGATAACTGATAAACATCCTTATACGTACTTTTCTTTAAAACTATTTAAACTTTCGTCAGACATTATCAACGTGATAATAAGACGGCTGAACTCACGTAAACCCAGTGTATGTACCGGGCGCGGCTATGTCCGAACTAGTTGCTACATACACCGGGCTTACGTGACTTCAGCCGTCTTATTATTACGATACTTTTCTTTTGTAAATAAATACATATTATACATATATAAGCACCCGGACACTAGAAAGACACTTTGTTCATCACACAATATTTTAGTTGTTAGCTTCCGTAAAGTGGGTGGCTTTGCAAACTGCTTTGTTTTTTCCAAACACGCCAAAACGAGTATAACTTCAAAAACAAGTGCGAAAAACAAGTGGAATCGCGCACGATATAAAAAAGTGAAAAAAAAAAATGCCTGTTGTATGAAAGCCCCACATAAATATTTTTATATTCTGCTTTTTAGTATTTGTTGTTATAGCGGCAACGGAAATACATCATTGAAATTTCGCCTGCCTAACAATTACGATTCCTGGTGACAGACGGCCAGACATACAGCGGATTCTTAGTAATAGGGTCCCGTTTTAATCTATGGATACAGAACCATAAAAAAGTTACGGGTCCCGTTATTTTTATCCGATTTGATTTTTCGCAATTCATTGCGGCTGTAGTAAATAAAGCAAACAAACGTCATTATTGATGTGTCATCGCCCTAACGTTCTAGCGTGAAACGGCGGCGACGTTTTTTGCCCCTCGTGAATGGTCCGATCTCTTCTGCGTGGTTTTCTTGTAGAGAAATACTTGTGTTTAGCCACAGCGATCGCACGTTCGCTCGGAAGCAAGCGACTAGGGAAAACTAATCGTTTTTTTGAAGTTATTCTTCTTTAGGCGCGTTATGAAAAATGATGGGAGTGAAATTTTAAGATGCGCGCGCATCACTGTAACACAAAAGTGCAAGCGGAGGGCCCAAACCCCTCGGTTCTGGCTAGCCCACCGGTTCTGCGTCAGATGAAGCTTCAATAGTCTCGGGACTGAAAGCACAAACATCAGTTAATACAAGATACTAGAACACAAAAGTAACTCCTTTGAAACTACCCGCTAAACCGCTTATTTTTTTGTAGATGGCAGCCTATTCTCAATCACCCTTGCCCGTTACAGTTCTCAATACAGAATGTAGATGGCGCTTTCATAATTTTATGATTTTTATTATTTCATCCTTTTCCGTATTTTTATTATTTTATTGGTATGCAATTAAAAACAATTTTTTAATGATGCCAAAGAAGTTTAACTTCACTTCATAAGTACAGGCACGCATTTTTTTAATTAGCCTTTATAATTGTATCCAAAAATATGATGACTCGGTGGCGCCGCTGGCTTTGGCAAGAGCTCATGGGTTCGATTCCCACACGGAAATTCGCGTATTTGCTTGTACCCGAAACAGTTACACAAGTGGGTGACCCACAGATAATCGTTTCGGATGTGTCCGTCCGCGATTGATCAAATTTAGGTTTTCATTATTCATTGAATTAAAAAGACGTTCGCGGCGAACGCGAGCGCCCGTTCGCTACGGCTAAACCGCCACCGAACAACGACACGTATTGTTGACGTAACGGTTATCATTTTCAACGTTTTTTTCTGCCACCGCGTCTCGTCCACGTTTCCACGCGGACCGAGTCGAGTCATTATCTCGCACTACTCGCTCGGACTGAGTTAATCTTTATATGTATATAATTAGTTTGTACGTGTGTACTTCACTGAACTCCTAAACGGCTGGACCGATTTTAATGAAATTTTTTGTGTCTTCAGTTCGATTCGAGAATGGATTAGATTCACAATACGTTTTTTATATTTATAAGTTGTCGTCGGATTTAAGTCGCGCGTACAGGACAACGTTTGTTGGGTCCGCTAGTAGTAATTATAAAGGCCCATTTACACGATGCCATTTTCTTGTACATACAAGAGCAATAATTGAATGCAATAAATTGCACGCAATAATTGACCATCAAGAATTGTAAGCAACAGTTTACACGCAGATATAGTAAAAAAAATTGAATGCAAGTCTTGACAAGAAATAATTGCAAATGTCTTTTGTTTACACCAATGCAATTATGTTTAGGCGATAATTCCTTTTAAGTTTTGACTTGTCTAAACACATGCTTGTATGTGCGTGTACAATTTATTGGCGTGTTGCTTCAAGTATTGCACGTATTTGCGTTGACAAATATTTCATTCAAGTGTTGAGCGTTTTGAAAAGGGTTGTTTATTTAAAAAAAATGGGTCAATAATAAGTGTTCAAGTTAGATTATGCCGATTAAATATATTTCTATTGAGATTTATTTATTATTATCCATATATTATTATTAATTTTTTTGTCAAACTTTTTTTACGACCTTTTCTCAATATTTCTATCCTCAAAAGAACAGCAACGATTAAACATCCTCACTCATCGCACTCATGTTTGCAAATGAAGAGAGAAAATTGAATGCAAGAATTGCTTAAGAAATTATTGTATGTGCTGTTTACACCAAGGAAAGTTTTGAAACAAAACTTGAAGCAAGTCTTGTTCAACAGGCAAGAATGTTATGTGCTGTTTAGACCATGCAACTCATTTATTGCTTCAATTTAATTGTATACAACAGGCAAGAAACTTGCACCGTGTAAATGGGCCTTAATTGTCGCGCGCGAGATTTCGATCGAGTGAAAACAGTTTAATTGCCGTGATCTAGTTGAATTATATTCTTTTCTCGCTCAAAGATAGCATCACTATTCAGGGAGGAGATGTTGTTACTGTTTTTTTCTCCACATATTTTGGGACAAAATGTTATCTAGTCCCAAAATAAATAAATAAACTTAAACAAACATTTGGATTTGTAAATAAATACATAATTATAAAGTATACAAGAAATACACATGTTCATCATACAATATTTTTCCACCAGTGTGAATCAAACCCACCCTCTATTGAAATATCTAAAATATTCACTAATATGTAATTAATAATTATTTTAAAATACATTGCCAATTTCTCAAAGTTGTCAACGGATCTTATAAAAAAGCCGGCCAAGAGCGAATTGGCCTCGCGCACGAAAAAAAAAATGTCTGTTTTATGGGAGCCCCACTTAAATATTTTTTTTATTCTAGTACTTAATATTTGTTTTATTTGTTGAAATACATCATCTGTGAAAATTTCACCAGTTTCACTATAACGGTTCATTTATACATGCTGATGACAGACGGACAGAAGCCAGACAGCGCAGTCTTAGTTATAGGGTCCCGTTTTACCCTTTGGATACGGAGCCCTACAAACTGGGCCACGGTTACCGACCCTCACCAGAAAATCGCGAAAGTATTATATATCCACTTCCCGCTGGTTTTCTATGAGGTCGTGGCAACCACTCAGGCCAATCTGTCCAATCGTGCAACATCCGTTGCGTGGCAACACATTAGTGAAGGCAATTTTTTAACGAACAAATGTGCCCGTTTTAAGATACTGTAAAAGTAAATAATGCTTCATAAACTACTTTACTAGTCTAGAAACTGCCCCGTTCCTTCGACCGTCGCATCGCCACGGTCACGAAGCTAGACACCAATGTTTCATTCGTAATGCCGTCATAATTCATAACCGGTTACACGGCCATATACGAAAACTTTACTGAATTTGTAAATCACGACGAAGATTACATAAAGAATAAGATTTAATGTCAAATTCTGTAGAAAAAAGTACTAGAAGCAATCGTTTAGCTTATACTTAAAGCGTCTGGGCACGAATCCCAAAGACGTGGGTCGTGGGACGTGGGTCCCAGAGTTTAGCACTATAAAATTTAAAGATCTAATGTGATCATTTTAATAAGTAAAACAACTAATCTCTATACCAAAGTAATGTTTCGTCTTAAGCGCAGAGATTGGCACTATAAAAACTTAATGAAAAAAAATCATCTCGTTCGAATTATCGTTGTAAAACGTAATTTCTAACTGTTTGTGTGCTGTAAAGGATATAATAATAGGTGCGCCAAGCATCGCTTAAAAAATGCGATACAATGTAGGTATTTTTTCGTTGAGACTTTCGTCACTTTAGCTTAGTGGATAAATCGTCTGGATGCGATTCCGGACGACGCGGGTTGGATTCCCGCGGCGGCGAATAACTTTTGTACCATTTTTCTACTAATCATTTTGCATGCTAAGTGCAGAGATTAGCGCTTTCAAAACTTAGTATAAAATGTAGAGAAAAAACAAGTAGTGAACGTTAGTTTTAACAAAACAGAACAAAAAGCGTGAAACTCGCGTCAACGTCATCGAACGATTTCCACTCCGATTTTTTTTAAAAATTAATACCTACGCAAAAATTTCTAGTTGTGATTGTTGTGAATATGATATATCGTTCGGAGTACCAATAAAATATTATGTAGAATTTAATATTATACAATTTTTATAATGATATTGTTTAATGTTTTTACGTTTGTCGCCACTCTCATGTACGACTGACTTTTTTACCGGAAGGAAGTTAGCGTAGGATAATTTTTTTTTTAATAAAACGATATGCCAATTAATTGATCTTGAAATGCCCCATTAGAATCCGTAATTGCTCCACACTTTTTACTATTCATAAATTTAAAAAATATTCAATTTTCGAAAATTTTATTTTGCTATAAAACATATATCATTCATAATTTTTGTGGCCAAAGGCAATAGGTTTCAGTCAACTCCTACTCCACAACTCCACCTCGGTTGCAGAGCACAAGGAGAGTGTCTCCACTACTGGCAGCCTCAACTCCCCTGCACCCTCCTGCCACGCACCCAGTGCCTCAATGAGCCCACTAGAGGCGGCCCCGGCGGCGGCGGTAATACCCCCACAATGTTCCACCTAAGTTATTTATCGAAAGCGCGCTTGGGACCCTTTTCAACCGACTAT